TGGAGCTTCATGCTCCAGCACCCGGGGAGGAGAGGAGGCAGGGGTGTGGCTGGTGCGCGTTCTGGGGGCATGGTGTGCCGCCTGCAGGGGCATGGCACCCAGCACGGGAGGGGGCATCTGTGATGGCACCCCACTGGGATCATGGTGCTGGGGACGGTGTGCTCCCTCTGCCCCCTCTTCCTCCTCCAGTGGACTGGAGGAATTTATGAAGGCAGAGCTATGGACTAATGATTTATGCATTACTATGAAAGGTTACAGACCCCCCAAGTGTCCCTATTTTCCAGGGATGTCCCGGATTTAGAGAAGCCACCCCAGTTTCTGATTTGATCCCAGAATGTCCCACTTTTCCTTAAGATGTCCCTATTTTCTTTAGAGAAATCTTGGAGGGTATGGAGTTATTCGATCCCTGATTGGTCTGAAGGCATCCTGTACAGTGGTACCTCAGGTTAAGAACTTAATTCGTTCTGGAAGTCCGTTCTTAACCTGAAACTGTTCTTAACCTGAGGTACCACATTCGCTAATGGGGCCTCCCACTGCCGCTGCACGATTTCTGTTCTCATCCTGAAGCAAAGTTCTTAACCCGAGGTTCTATTTCTGGGTTAGCGGAGCCTGTAACCTGAAGCATCTGTAACCTGAAGCATCTGTAACCCGAGGTACCACTGTATAGGGAGGGTTTTTGTTTTTTGTTTTAAAAATAATGTTTAATGTTTTCTTATGTTTTCATATATGTTGGAACCTGCCCAGAGTGGCTGGGGCAACCCAGTAAGATGTTTGGGGTATAAATAGTAAAATTATCATTATGGAATGGGACGTCCCTATTTTCATCTGAGAAATGTTGGAGAGGATGAGAGTGCGCTTCTGGAGCAAGAAGACCAAACCCCCTCTTGGGCTCAAGGGGGAGAAACAAACTGTATTGAACTGAATGTATAAATAATTTTTTTCTTCTCTTCTTCTCTTCTTGGGAGATTGGAAGAAGATTGGAAAAAATTTAAAGTATATCTTCAAAAATATTGTAATATTAAAGACTGTTAGAAAGATGTTGGAAAAAGAAAATTAGGTAGTTTTGGTAGATATGATATAAAGGATTAAGCAAAAATGAGTTGATGAAATTGATGAAAGAGAGGATGTTAAATTATAATACTTTAAATTAAACTACGTAAATGAAAATAAGGTTGGAAGGATTTGCTGAAAAAACGATCTGAACTAGAATACAAAATTGGGAGGTGAGAGGAGGTCAAGGAAATAAGTAAAGGAAAAAAAGTTATGTAAAGGTTTAATCTGTTCTTGTTCTATTTCAATTGAATGTATTTTTATACCTTCTTTCTATTTTTTTCCCTCTCTCTGTTATTGTTATATTCTTTTTTGTATTTTGTATTGTTCTTTTTTCTTTTTTGTAACTTTAAATTTTGAATAAATATTATTAAAAAAAATAAAAAAAATATTTTTTTTTGGTTTAGTCGTTTAGTCGTGTCTGACTCTTTGTGACCCCATGGACCTCAGCACACCAGGCACTCCTGTCTTCCACTGCCTCCCGCAGTTTGGTCAAACTCATGTATAAATAATACAACTTGTTAAACTGTTGCCATCCTGACAGGTAACTATTCATCTTCAAGTCTTGTATAAGGAGTTTACTTTATCGCTAAAGTCTGAGGGTGAAATTGCTGCATCACTCTGAATGACTCAAAAATAGACAACAATTTACAGGGATGAAAAAAGCAATAGTAGTATTTTTTATGGGGACGTGGGTGGCGCTGTGGGTAAAACCTCAGCGCCTAGGACTTGCCGATTGCATAGTTGGCGGTTCGAATCCCCGCGGCGGGGTGCGCTCCCGTTGCTCAGTCCCAGCGCCTGCCAACCTAGCAGTTTGAAAGCACCCCCGGGTGCAAGTAGATAAATAGGGACCGCTTACTAGCGGGAAGGTAAACGGCGTTCCGTGTGCTGCGCTGGCTCGCCAGATGCACCTTGTCACGCTGGCCACGTGACCCGGAAGTGTCTGCGGACAGCGCTGGCTCCCGGCCTCTAGAGTGAGATGAGCGCACAACCCTAGAGTCTGTCAAGACTGGCCCATACAGGCAGGGGTACCTTTACCTTTACCTTTAGTATTTTTTATGACACAACAGTAGCTAAGTTATAATGCACTGTGCCTATAGCTTTAATAAAACAAACTCCTGAATTTCCAACTTTGTTCTGGCAGCATTCAAGAGCAAAATGTTTTCTGGACTGTATAACTAATTAGCAGGTTAAAACCATAAACTGCAGGTTAATTGTTGAAATAAGTAAGTAAATAAGTAAAGCAAATCTTGTTGCAACATCAGTAGTACTTTTTACAGTATCCTAGCAAATGGCCAGGACCGGCCCTACTGTTAGGCAAATACTGTGGCAACTGCCTCAGGCAGAAGATGTTAGGAGGAAGTGGTGACCATCTGTCCCGGCTATTCCCCTCTGTTGGAGGACAGAGCTGTGTGGCTTGATGGTTGTTCTTGTCTCTTCTAAGCTACTCTGCTGCCCTCAGATGCAAGGGAGAAATGGGCTATGCTATCACCAGTGTCAAAGTAAGATTACACTGCCAGTCCAGTCAGCTTCTGCAAATGGAACAACCCCCAGATTCCCAGCTTTCATTTTCTTTAAAGAATCCCGCCCCCCCCCCCAAGCATTTGTAGAACCTGAGATATGAGGCAAAATGTACAGGAGCTATTCGTCTTTTCTCTTTCTCTCTGTCTCTATCTTTCATCTGCTCCATCCTTTCAGTACTTAGGTCCTCTCTGCAACCTGGAAAAATTCTGCAGGCTGGCCCTGCAAGTGGGCACCATAGCCATAATGCTTCAATTTAATTTTATGTTGTTATTATATTATATTATGTTATAATTATATTTATTATATTTTTATCCCATGTTTTAGGTGAAAATGGACTCCCAGTAATTAAAATTCAGTATGCAATACCACATAGGGACGTGGGTTGCGCTCTGGTCTAAACCACAGAGCCTAGGGCTTGCCGATCAGAAGGTTGGCGGTTCGAATCCCCGCAACGGGGTGAGCTCCCGTTGCTTGGTCCTGCTCCTGCCCACCTAGCAGTTCGAAAGCACGTCAAAGTCAAGTAGATAAATAGGTACCACTCCGGCGGGAAGGTAAAGGGCGTTTCTGTGGGCTGCTCTGGTTCGCCAGAAGCAGCTTAGTTATGCTGGCCACATGACCCGGAAGCTGTTTGCAGACAAACACCCACTCCCTCGGCCTATAGAGCGAGATGAGCGCTGAAACGCCAGAGTTGTCCGTGACTGGACCTAGCGGTCAGGGGTACCTTTACCTATGCAATGCCACTGTCAAGCACCATCTAGGGATGCCAGTGGGGCACACTCAGGGCTCTGGTTTGCATGCAGAATATAAGGCACACCAAGGGAAGGCCAAGAGTGCGAGTCTTGCAGCACTTTGAAGGCCAACATATCATGGGCACAAGATTTGTAGACTACATCACATGAATTCTACCACAATGAAAATTTGTGGGTGTTCCACAAAAGCTTGTGCTCTTACAAATTTGCTGATATTTAAGGTGCTGCAAGACTTGTTGTTGTTGCTACATAAAAGTGACATGCGGCTTCCCTGTGGGGGAGTGGAGGAACAGAGGAGAAAGATCTGTCATGGATGCATTAGCTGAGAGTTCTACATGGCAGGGGGTTGGACTAGATGACCCTTGGGATACCTTCCAACTGTACAATTCTATGAATCTTTGACAATGCCCAAAACCTAAGAGTTAAGTTGTTAAACCTTGCACCTCATTGAAACTGGGTAGATCTCCTGCTAGTGTGCTTGCTGATGTGCATGTGGCTTGTGATTGTTTTTTTAAGAGCACGACAATAAAACAGTACTGTCTTCAGGGCTCAGTAATTAAGGCAAATAAAATGCATGACCCATTAAAGTTTTAAGAGGGATGAAAATAGTCCTGTAAGGCATCTGGGCCATAATGCACACAACATATAAATGTGTGCGTATTTTAAAGGAGAATCTGACAAGAAAGTGCAAAGAATAATGAAGGTTCTGCGTGAAACCTACATTTAAAGCACACACCCCAAATCCTGGGAAGTGTAGTTTTCCCTAGGAGAACTACATTTCCCAGAAGCTTCAGTTCTCAGGATTCTTTGGAGGGGAATTGTTTAACATATGTGGCGTGTCCACAGCCCCACAGCCAGCTGTTCAGAGAGGATTAAATATGCACAAAGCCACTGTGTTGTTTTAAATGATTTTCATCGGACGAGCACTTTTAGTGTTTTGAATTGTCCTATTGATTTATTTTTAAAAGGTATTCTGCATTTTATCACTGTAAATCTCTTTGGATGCATGGAGTGATATATGCATACCTGATAAACTATCTAGCTGACTATGTGAAAGTCAGAGTGGAAGCAAGGGCGTCTTTCCCTTCTGATGTGCAACACTGTGGTTCCCCGAGCTGCTCTGCTGCTAATCGCTCCCTGGGCTGCTGTTAGTAACGCAGCAAAGTGGTGCATTTAAGTCTTAGAAGAGCATCCTTCCCAGGTCTCCTCTGCATCACCTTCTCTCTTTCACCTCCCCTTTTGTTTGTTCACTCTGCGATTCTGGTCCTCCGCTGTTAAGCTGCATTCTGGCATTTGCTGGGTTTGTCTCTCTCTGTGTGTGACACTGCGTCACACTCTGAAAGAGGCTACGTCAAAAGCTTGCACTGTCCTTCCTCAGCACCCCCACCTTTCTTTCTTGCATCTGCTTTCCTCAGCATCCCCCCCTGTTCAGCAGCTCGGGAATGGTAGATTCCCACCTCCACCACCAGAAGGGAGATGAGATCTAGATGTTGCTGGAATGTAAGAGCATCACCAGACCAGGCTGCAGAGGTTGAAGCGACACGCCAGGGAAAGAGCCAGCAAATAATACGCAGCTAGTCAGCTGCTGAGCAGAGGGGAGAAAAATAGCTTTCCTCGCTCTCGCTTCCTGCGAAGTGCCATTCTCTCAAGCAGAGGAGCATCAGTCCATAGGAAAACATGACGCAGGGAAAGGTAGGTGGGGATCAGGACAAAATAAACCTTGCTTAATTCTAATAATCAAGCTGGCTTGTAGACGCTTGGCATAATTAAGGACAAATGCAATTGTGGTGTTGAATTAATGCAACCTCACCATCTTTGTGTGTTTGTGTACGAGAGCAAATCATCCATCTGCTTGTTCTTTGCACCAAATCCCTGTTGCGAAAGAGAAAAAGCGGTGTGGGGGGGGGGGGATGATGTGGGAAGAGGTTTATCGCATGTCACCGCAGGGCTAGTGACAGGATTGCTGTCAATCACCGCCACTTATCCCCTATCATCTCCCCTGGGATTTGTGTTCCTGCCAGCCTTTTAAAAGTGCTCTTGAAACCTTGCAAGAATAAGAAATCCTGTTCTTACTCATTGCAGGAGGTTGAACTGAAGGAGATTAAATGTCATCCATCACACCCCCCTGGCCCTGGCCTCTCCAACCCCCCAGTAAGAAATCAGTTGCCATGTAAAAGCAGCATCAGAGGGGCGTTAAATGCATGTTTTAGTTTTTGCTTCCTGTAGCTGCTGGCTATGATGTAAGCAACAAATCTATGGTGGTTCAATCTTGGATGCTGCTGCAATCGCTTATGTTGTGTGTTCCATAATTCTGGGTCTCACCTGTGCGCAAAGGGAGTTATGTAATAGGGCTGAGTTATCCCAAATGCTCCCTTGCTTGTGGAACTGGAATGTGGCCAGCAGAGTGTTGATGTCATGCAATGAGATTCTACTCCCATGCCTATACTAGAGGATACGTATGAAATGCTAAATTTCTTGCACAAAGCTGGACCTAAGAAATCTCCTTTGCAAAGGTCCCCTCCCTTTCTCTTCTGCCCCCCCTCACCTTCTAGGCACTTGCTCCCGTTGAATTAGGTCACCTCAATCCAGATGGCACCACACTGACGCAACTCCTGGACAACTCCACACACCTCTGATTCATTTTGACGCTGCTGCTGATTGGCTCACATTTTTCAGCTGCCATGTGTTGAGTTGTTATAATTATAGAAAGCTTTTGTGGGGTGGCTGCAAGGCAGCTCTTGCTGCTGTGAAGCAGCCTAGGATTCATTAGCATTGTCTTTATGGAGCTGTGCTGTTGATTGTACAGGGTTGGGGTTGGGGACGCCACATTGAGTGTCCAGCTGCCCTAGGACCTAAATCCTTCTGGGATCAATAGGGCTTATTTTGAATCTGTTATCCAAGATAGTGGTGTCAAGTGATACTGGATCACAGAGTGTGTTGCTTCTGTTGTTTTAAGTATTTTTAACTGCTGTGAGACATTAGGGAGGATATGTGTTTTTTCTTCAAGCCACAGAAGCAGAGGCATAATTCAAAATGCTATGGGAGCAGCAGGTTGGATTCTCCTGCAGTCTACAGGAGGGGTGGGGAACATTTGGCCCACCAGATGCTGCTGAACTACAACTCCATGAGACCCAGCCAACGTGGCCAATGGAAAGGGATGATGGGAGCTGCAAGTCGGCAACATCTGGAGGGCCACAGGTTCTCCACCTCTGCATAGCTGTCAAGCGTCCCTTATTTGGAGGGACAGTCCCTTATCCCAGCACCATGTCCCGCTGCTGTCCCTTATTGATGGATGTCCCTTAAATTTCCTGGGTTTCAAAGGAAGCAGCTCCTTTCCCACCCTCCTTGCCGGCCAGGGAGGAGGGAGGCTCCAACTGTGTTGCTTGGCTGCCCGCCCCGCCTCCTCTCACCAGCCTCAGCCCCTGGGAGCCCCTCCCCGCCGGGACTGGCAGGAGCCTCGGGCCCTTCTGCTGCCATCCTCCTCGCGGCCGCCGAACTGAGCGTCTCTGCCTGGGGCCTCCCTCTGCCCATCGCCGCTGCTCCTGCTCCCGCTAGGCCGTACTGTGGTTGTGCCGCCGAAGGACCCGGATGAGATGGGCAGCCTGGCATGGCCTATCAATTACTGAGGAGCCTTGAGAGGAGAGCGAGGGCAACCATAGAGAAAGCAGTTCAGAGAGAGGAGGAAGAGGAGGAGGCGGAGGCGGAGGCGCGGGCAGGTGTTCCAAGGGCTACAAGGGAAGGACCGCAAGCGCTTCTCCCATAGATTTCTAGTGGTAGACTAGCATAGATGGTCTGATCTGCGGGTTTACTTCGGGCGCTATTCCCCCCCTTCCTCCTGCCCCACCAGATGGAATTGTGAGCTGCAGATGGAGCATGAGAGAAAAGATACAGAACTGCAGCAGCATCTTCGTAGCTTGGACTTCGTTTTGCGCGAAAAGCGGTTGCTGCTTGTAGTTATTTAATTGCAGTGTTTCATCGGCTGGTGTCTTGAGCAGCAACCTCTGGAAACGAAGGGCTAAAAACCGGCACTGCTCTCCAAAATTATCTGGTCCCTTTTAACTTCGTATTTCAGCTGGTAGACTAAAATCCCTTATTTTTGCTGCTGGTCCCTTATTTTCAAATCTGTAAGTTGACAGCTATGCACCTCTGGTCTACAGATTGAACCTCCTAGATGGCAAGGCTGAGCTTACAGTCTCACAAAAAAGCCAGTGGATCAGTCTAGGGGCATGGGTAGGCAAACTAATGCCCGGGGGCTGGATCCAGCCCAATTGTCTTCTAAATCTGGCCCTTGGACAGTTCGGGAATCAGCATGTTTTTACATGAGTAGAATGTGTCCTTTTATTTAAAATGCATCTCTGGGTTATTGTGGGGCATAAGAATTCATTCATTCCCCCCCCTTCAAAATATAGTCTGGCCCCCCATAAGGTCTGAGGGACAGGGGATCCCTGCTGAAAAAGTTTGCTGACCCCTGGTCTAGGGAAATGGACACATCTACAAAACAAAATGGAATACAACAACTGTGGGGAACCCACTGAGGCCTTCGAGATGTCATTGGACTACAACTTCCACCAGCCACAGCCAGGGATGGTGGGAGTTGTTGTCCAGCAACATCTAGAGGACCACAGCCCCTCGCTTGATATACATGAGGAAACAATGGCTTCATGAAAAACGTAATGAGGAACCTTTTCATAGAATCATAGAGTTGGAAGAGACCACAAGGGCCATCGAGTCCAACCCCCTGCCAAACAGGAAACACCATCAGAGCACTCCTGACATATGGTTGTCAAGCCTCTGCTTAAAGACCTCCAAAGAAGGAGACTCCACCACACTCCTTGGCAGCAAATTCCACTGTCGAACAGCTCTTACTGTCAGGAAGTTCTTCCTAATGTTTAGGTGGAATCTTCTTTCTTGTAGTTTGGATCCATTGCTCCGTGTCCGCTTCTCTGGAGCAGCAGAAAACAACCTTTCTCCCTCCTCTATGTGACATCCTTTTATATATTTGAACATGGCTATCATATCACCCCTTAACCTCCAGGTTAACCTCCAGGCTAAACATGCCCAGCTCCCTTAGCCGTTCCTCATAAGGCATCGTTTCCAGGCCTTTGACCATTTTGGTTGCCCTCCTCTGGACACGTTCCAGTTTGTCAGTGTCCTTCTTGAACTGTGGTGCCCAGAACTGGACACAGTACTCCAGGTGAGGTCAGACCAGAGCAGAATACAGTGGCACTATTACTTCCCTTGATCTAGATGCTATACTCCTATTGATGCAGCCCAGAATTGCATTGGTTATTTTAGCTGCCGCGTCACACTGTTGGCTCATGTCAAGTTTGTGGTCAACCAAGACTCCTAGATCCTTTTCACATGTACTGCTATCAAGCCAGGTGTCACCCATCTTGTATTTGTGCCTCTCATATTTTTTTTGCCCAAGTGCAATACTTTACATTTCTCCCTGTTAAAATTGGCTCAGTTCTCTAATCTGTCAAGGTCGTTTTGAAGTGTGATCCTGTCCTCTGGGGTGTTAGCCACCCCTCCCAGTTTGGTGTTATCTGCAAATTTGATCAGGATGCCCTTGAGTCCATCATCCATGTCGTTGATAAAGACTTTTGCTATAACCCTACTAGTTCCTCTCTTGCTTCTTTAAAAGCACCACAAACCTGAGCTTCTGGGTCAAGAACTGGCTGGATGAAGAAGAGTGGTGGGAGGCTCTGGAGGAACCCCCATGGGAAACCGCAGAGGAGGAAGGCCATGAACCAGGGGACGTGGTGGGACATGGAAGTTGGGTCAGAGGAAGGAGGAGGTTGGGGTGCTGAAGAAGCAACAGGCTTGAGGGAGAGAGAAGAGCCACAGGTAGAAAGCCATTCAAGGGCAGGGCAGGAAGCAGAGGGAAGAAATTCAGGTTCAGGACCTGAAGCAGAGGAGGAAGGGGACAGGAGCTATGGCAGCTTCACGGGAACTGACAGGTCCCACTGTATTAATCTCCCCTCCCACCCGTGTCTCCAAGGACACACAGAGCTTTGCATGTAGCCAAACAAAGAGCACAGAGAGAATAAGAGGTTAAGGTTGTTTGGAAGACATACAGCTAATGAAGAGATTTGGGCTTGCCAATCAGAAGGTTGGCGGTTCTAATCCGAGTGACAGAGTGAGCTCCCATTGCTCAGTTCCTGCTCCTGCCAACCTAGCAGTTCGAAAGCACGCAGTGCAAGTAGATAAATAGGTATCACTCCGGCGGGAAGGTAAATGGCATTTCCGTGTGCTGCTCTGGTTCGCCAGAAGCGGCTTAGTCATGCTGGCCACATGACCCGGAAGCTGTACACCGGCTCCCTCGGCCAATAAAGTGAGATGAGCGCCGCAACCCCAGAGTCGTCCGCAACTGGACCTAATGGTCAGAGGTACCTTTACCTTTACCTTGGGAAGGGCAGACAGGCAGTCTTGGCCACTGTGCTACTGGAGGCAAGCCGTGCCCTGTGGTGCTCTCTGGATGTACTGTATGCTGTTTATCCTAGTAAAAAGCTAACTTTACTTCAGGTCTGTGAATCTCCGTGCTGACCTGCATATGAACCACCTCTGGCATTAAGGTTCCCTCTTACGACTGTTGGCTAACATGCCATCATTGACAAGAGGTCTTAGGAAAAAAATCAGTTTCCAAGACCTTACTTGGTGTATATGAGAAATGAGCATGTCCTAAATCTGGGCGGCAGTCAATTTAGTTTACTCAGGGTGGCAAGACTCAGCATTTAGTTCAACCAAGGTTCACCGCAGATCCATTGGTTAAACAGTATTGCCATTCTTATTGAGCATGGGAAAGCTGAGAAGGTCAGACCATTCTCTGTATATATGCCCCACCTCTTCTAGGCTTAGAGGACTGGCCATGTGTCCTCTTAAAAAAATACTGGAACTGGAACTTGTTTTGGTTGCCTCCTCTTTGTCCCATATAAAACACATGAGGGTTATTTATTTATTTTTTTAAAAATAAAAACAAAAAATTAATGTTCCATTTCCTATTTTGCTCTGCAGCTCTCCGTGAATAACAAGCCTGCAAACTCTGAAGGGCAGCAGGCAGATGCAGACAAAAAGGACAACACAAATGTCCCATCAGCTCCTCCAACATACGAAGAGGCGACCTCAGCAGAAGGATTGAAATCAGGGGCATTCCCTCCGCCTCTGAATGTTCCTCTCCATCCAGCTTGGGCGTATGTGGATCCCAGTGAGTTTGTTCTCTCTCTGACATATACATATATTCAAAATTTAGAATGCAACCCTATGAACTTAATCAAACTTACTTTTGAGTAGATACACACAGTCTTGCACTGCTATTGACTTCTTACCCTGCATGAGTATTTGAGCATTTGTGGTGTCATTATGCAGTTATATGCAATTATTTATTAAAAAAAATATCCATATCTATTTATATTTAATTAAAATGTCTGCATTAATTCATAGCTTTGTGGATAAGTTGGGAGCTCCTCCACTGCTACCTTTATGGAAACTCTATAAATTATATACTAGTTGTTAAGAGAACTGGGAGATTTGATTTCTCACAGCTCCGTATAAACTTGCCATTCTCTCTTGTTTCCCTGACTGAGGAGTCAAGAAGGGACAGTTTAATATCTTCTTGATATTTTGCTCTTTGTTAGCTGGATTTTCTAAATTCTACAGACACTCTTCTTTGCTCAGTTAACATATATGTTCTTTTCATTGCATCATTTATTTCATAAATGCGTATTTATATGGAAAATGGTTGTGGTCATGTGCTTGCTGAAAGATTACACTCAAACCAATTTAGGTTTTAAATGTTTTAAATGTTTACAGTGAACATGACTTTGTGTTTGAAAGCTTGAAATCCTCATTGTGTGAATGTATTCCTGCAATGAAAATAAAAATAATGTCCAGTTTTAAAATTCCCTGCACAGTACAAAGGGAATTGAGTAGTATCTAGGAAAGTACAACAAGCTATAAATCAACAAAACTTGGTGGTGGTAGTGGGGGAGAAAAGTACATTTAAATTAATTTTTGGTTTGAAAATAAAGATTTAGGGGATAGATTATAAGTAAAAATGAGCAGTCAAATCCAGATGGTTTTCCCCAGTTTGACAAAGGGACACTGACTAACTGTAGAGCACAGATAAAATCCACAGGTAACAAGAGATCATTTCTTTCCATGTAAAAAAGCAAGAATGAGTGATTCATTCCACTGGTTTTTGAAATTCACAATAGGAAACAGATTAAGGTTGAAATCCTAACCCCCACTTACCTGGGAGTATGCCTCACTGAAGTGTTGGGATTTACTTCTGAGTAGAACATGGTTAGGATTGCAATCAATGCATATAGGCTCCCTCTAGCAACAAACACTTCAGAAATTTAAAAAGCAGAGAGGCATCTATTGGGACACTGGCAATTCTACATCAGTGATATGTAAATAATGTATATTGCAAAACAATTTATGCATCTATATATGTATCATGTGAGCATGTTTAAAAAATATTTTCAGTTTCATGAGCTAAGATGAAAAGCATTTATAGCAGGCTTCCTCAACCTCAGCCCTCCAGATGTTTTTGGCCTACAACTCCCATGATCCCTAGCTAGCAGGACCAGTGGCCAGGGATGATGGGAATTGTAGTCTCAAAACATTTGGAGGGCAGAGGTTGGGGAAGCCTGATTTATAGCAAGAGTCCGTGCTGCAATAGGGCTTGAATGGGCCGACAGAAGAAAATCTGTTTTATAGTCCATTTTCAATGGATTCCTTGGACATCCCTAACCTTGCCCCAAGAAATTCTCAGTGAGGAAGCAAAGGCCCTAGAGGTTGGGTGAGTTCATCTGCTACCTGAAGGTTCCAGTCCTGTGCCATCACAATGATGTCACCAAGGAGGGCCATACTGCCTTTCAGAATGGTTACTCTCCCATTGATCTTCACATCTGCTTCTGGGTGCTGGAGCCTTCAGAGGACAATGGACATGTTTTTGCTACGCAAAAGCAGCAATAAGAAGAATACGCTAGAGAAATACGGTGAATGCGAATTTTCAGCTACTTAATTTAGATCTTAATGTTCCAATGGGTGTTGGGAGTTTAATACAAGGTCTAAGTGAGCGACTATGAAAAGGTCTCAGTGAACCTTGGCTTTGGTTCAGGTGCTTATTCATTCATTCATTCATTACCCTCCCATCACCCTAAGGTCCCAGGCTGGGTTACAACACAACAGTAAAGCACAATATTAAAATCAGTTTTAAACAATTTACAAAAATTAGGTAGGTCCTAAAAATATACACCTTAAGTGTCCCTTGGGGTGGGAGGGTCATTTGACTGACTGAGTTCTTAATATGAATGCCCTGATTCCACAGGAGTTTGCTGCATAAAGCTTGCAGCACAGTGGTAGAAGCTAGTTACTAGCAAACCTGGATTTAGGGTTGAATAGCGGGTGATAACTCAGAAAAGCAAAGATATATTATTCACCTTTATCACATGTCTCACAATCCGGGCTCCCTCTCTCAAAGCGCTCATTCTGGGTGGCCAGCATTAAGCCACTCCAACAATTCCAATATACACAGAGCTGGAATAAGGCATTTGGGTACTGGGGGCAAGCAACCAAACAGCAACCCCAATGGCTGTAAAATGATGTAGAACAATCATAATGTTAATAATCCGAATAATCCGAATGTTGCTGCTATTTTTGGTATCTCCGAATCAGGTGACTGAGATGGGCTGCCTCACTCTGCCTAATGCTAGGGGTGGCTTTGAGTAGCATTGTGATTAATGAATATTTTGTTTTGCTGCGGTGGGTTAGAAATCTAATGGACATAATTCTTTTTTATTTGACATGTTCTAATCTTCTTCCTGAACTATTGCAAGAGGCCAAGAGGCCTAGTTTCAATATTCCCCCAAATTGATTCTGACCGCAATGAACCCTATTTTGTGGCTTGATTAACCGTAACCAAAGTATCCTATCGTTTTTTGAGGTCCCTTAGAATTAGGAATGTACGGCAACTCTAGGAAGGGGGTATTAATAGGAGGGAATTCTGTATGATACTTCCTCAAAAACTGCACATCTTGAACCTCTGTGACGTTGGTGAACATCCTTAGAGAGAGACTGCCCGCAAGCTTGAAAGGGTGGTTTGGAATTAATAAGCCCCTAAGCTCCTTATCTGCAGCTCCCTTAAGACACTAAAACCTTGTTCATCTTTGCTTTTAGCGTGCTGCTTCACAACAGTTAAGTGTATCTGGAAATGAAGTTGGGCTTAGTAACAAAGAGCAGCAAGTTGCAATATCCTATATAAATTCACAGAGGGATTGCATCATGGGTTGTTGACCACTGAAAGCCTGTGCAATTAAATTTTTACAATTTTACATGCTTGACAATCCAGGCGCCCTCTCTCAAAAATCTAGCATCTTTCATGGAAGAGAAGGGACCAAATGTCCAGTTTCCTCCCTGCCAAAAGTAGGAGGCCCAGCCACACCCTCCCCTACCTACTTATGCTGTGCAGAGCAGATCATAATGTACTACAAGCATAAAGGCAACCTACACATGAAATAAAACCATGTGGCCAATAGTTCCTAGGTCACTACCATTTTAGACTGTAGGTGGTTGGGGACTGCATGTCTGAAGGTTCCTTGCAATTTAAGAGTCCTGATAGAAGTTCTGGACCAAATGATTCATATGGAAAGTTTGGTCCAGATAGTAAGTTAACCACAAAAAGATGTAGCTCCAGGTAACAGCATCATGCCGGCAAAACTACAAGGTAGCGTAGAGCAGGAATGAGCAGGAGGTAGATTGCAAACTGCTGGTATGGCTTACAGTATACCAGATGTATGGTATAATACTACTACTGGTATTATTTCTGGATGGCTTAAAGTAGATGGGCAAGGGTTTCCTACTCCCTTAGGGGGCTCAGAGGAAATGGTGTGGCAGTGGGGAACTACAGCTGCCTCAATCTGCCTAATATTGTCTGCTGATCCATTTCTAAGTCCATTTCAAAGTCCTGTTGGTGATGGTGAATGCCTTAAGGGGGCTGGATATCGTAAGGGCTGCTGCTTCTGTTATGACTCCACCTGACTCCTAAGCCGTCCAGCACTTCATCTCGCACCTCTGGCCATAGCTGTCAACTTACAGATTTGAAAATAAGGGACCAGCAGCCTTGAAAATAAGGGACCAGCAGCCTCACCTGTTCCAGGCACTCCAGTCTTCCTGTCCTCCTGCAGGCTGGTCAAACTCATGCTGGTAGCTTCGAGAACACTGTCCAACCAACTTTGTAACCAGAGGTTCAACTGAATAGAATCTGAATCACATGTACCACAAAGCCTATGCAGCCTCAATTTAAGATGGCTCCCTGGCCTGGCTTTGCACTGCAAAGTTTGCAGCAGCACGTGCAACAAAATGGCGTCCAGCATTCAAAAACCCCCACAGCAAGCTTTAACAAGCCACACACAAGCCATCCAAGCTCCACCCCCCGGCCCCGCAGGGAGGGAGGGAGAGGAGCTGCTTCCTTTGAAATTTAAGGGACATAATTTAAGGGACATTTAAGGGACATCCATCAATAAGGGACAGCGGCGGGACATGGCGCTGGAATAAGGGACTGTCCCTTCAAATAAGGGACACTTGACAGCTATGCCTCTGGCTGAGAGGTATTACCTTTGGATAATACCAACTTGTGGAAATCCATGGTTTAAGACTATCCATTTACCTTCCTCTCTATCTGCCTGTTACTATTACAGCACTTTATAAAAACCTGAGTCAAAACTAATTATTGATTTGGTTTTGCTGTTACTCTTGCTGACAAATATACCCACAACGTAACTAGCTGTGTTTAACTATATAAATTCTTTATACATCATATAAACATAACTCTTTTCACATTATCTAATTAAGTAGAAGCAATTAAGGACCAACATTTAGAACAGGAAATACAAATAGATCAGTTCTTATATACGTAATGTCCACATAGAAGCTTTTGTGTTCCACGTACAGTGGTACCTCGGGTTACATACGCTTCAGGTTACATACGCTTCAGGTTACAGACTCCGCTAACCCAAAAATAGTACCTTGGGTTAAGAACTTTGCTTCAGGATAAGAACAGAAATTGTGCTCCGGCGGCACGTGACAGCGGGAGGCCCCATTAGCTAAAGTGGTGCTTCAGGTAAAGAACAGTTTCAGGTTAAGAATGGACCTCCAGAACGCTCTATATGACGCACCAGACCACAAGACGCACCTAGTTTTTGGAGGAGGAAAACAAGAAAAATATATATTCTGAATCTCAGAAGCCAGAACAGCAAAAGGGATCACTGCGCAGTGAAAGCAGCAATCCCTCTTGCTGTTCTGGCTTCTGGGATAGCTGCGCAGCCTGCATTCGCTCCATAAGACGCACACACATTTCCCCTTACTTTTAGGAGGGAAAAAGTGAGTCTTATAGAGCAAAAAATACGGTAGGTTCTTAACCCGAGGTACCACTGTATGCACAAATGAATCAGTTTTTTTAAACGTAATGTCCAAACAAAAGCTTTTTGTGTTCCACATATGTCTTAGCGAATACAAGTGTCAAACCTAACAACTTTAAGGAGCAGTACTTGCAAAAGATGAACTTTTCTTTGTAATGTTCCACACCTGCTTTTGCAAAGTAAGGTTGTTGTATGCACGTTGTCGGGATATTTGTTAGTTGAATTTACGTAACTATCGGTTTGATAGTGTTGTGTTACTCTTGCTGAATCACATTGGAGTTTGCTGGTGGCTGTTTTATTTGTAGTGCTTGAATCTGAATTGCTGTTGTTTTCAAATGATGGCTTGTTAGCCATCTCGGAGTCCTTTATGGATGAAAACATGGGGTAAAATAATCTGGCTAAGCTGCAGAGCAGGGAGGGCTAGTGTGGTGCCCTCCAAGTGTTTGAGGCCAGCATAGTCCATGGTCAGAAATGATGAGAGCAATAACTGGAGAGCATCATACTGGTTGCTTCGGCTATAGTGTAGCTACCTGGTTCAAATACATAACTTCTATATACTCAGAGTCGAGAGTGGATTTCATGCTCTTTATTCAGCTCATCGTGGTGAGGAGGAATGAAAGTCCCCTCAAAGTATCTGCTTTATATACATTATTTACACAAAGGGCTGCACGTGATTGGCTAATTCCAGAATTCTCCTGTAGGCCAATCAGGTTGTGGATTCACTTCCATCTGGAGCCGGATTGGGTGGCTCCTGCAGACCAGTCATACTGCTGCATTGTTCTAGGACCAATCAGACTGCTGCATTCTGAATTCTATTGTTCTAGGACCAATCAGACTGCTGCATTTTGGATCCTATTGTTCTAGGACCAATCAGACTGCTGCATTTTGGATCCTATTCAACTCAGAACATAACAACAGCAATAGAAAACAGAGTGAGCCTTGCACCAAACAAGCAAATCTTTCACCATTTTAAACCGAATAACATTGGAAGTTAGGCAATGAAGCATCTTGAATTCAATGTTTTCATTGTGTAGTGGTGCCTTGGGTAAAGTACGAACTCTGTAAATGAAGCAGACTGTTGTATCTTGGCCAAATTTGTCCCTTGCGTGGATAGAGTTGTCATAATAGGTGATGTCAAGATGGTATAGTCTGAGACAATTAAACCAAGCTGTGGGATTTCTTCTGCATTAGGAGTAAAGGAGAAATATTCCCTGGGAGACCCACCTCATATGCTCACAAGAAGACTTAATGCTCAGTAATAGGAAAAGCCTCAGCCCCACAGCTGAAAGATAAAGGGCTAACCTGAGCCCTAATTGCAATATCTATATAGCCCATGATATGTATAGACACATAACATTTTGTAGCAAAATGTCTGTCCTGATTGGCTATGGTGGAGATGAGGCAACTGCACTGCAGTATTTCCTGGAGGCAGTAAAATGTATCTCTGCATTTTCTGCACACATATATGTATTATTACACGCTATCACTCAGGGATAGGAGAAGGGATTTCAAAGGTACAACCACTGGAATGCCTTTAATTTTATGAACCCGCCCATGTATTAAGATCTTTAAAGCAGGTTCTTCTCCAGTTATAGGTGGAATACAATATGTATACAGTGGTACCTTGGGTTAAGTACTTAATTCGTTCCGGAGGTCCGTTCTTAACCTGAAACTGTTCTTAACCTGAAGCACCACTTTAGCTAATGGGCCTCCCGCTGCTGCCACACCGCTGCTCCACGATTTCAGTCCTCATCCTGAAGCAAAGTTCTTAACCCGAGGTACTATTTCTGGGTTAGCAGAGTCTGTAACCTGAAGCTTATGTAACCTGAAGCGTATATAACCCAAGGTACCACTGTATTAAAAAGATAGGCCCTTTGCTGTGCTGGCACTTCAGCTATGGAATGCTCTTCTGTGGGAGGTATCAGTTCTATATTCTGTTTGGCACCTTAAAAAATAATAATAAACTTTTAAAAAATAAATAAATTTCAAAGACATTTTTAAATATTGTTGTGTTTTCGGTCCCCTCAATTTTATTATAATTTTGTTGAATTTCTTTTGAGTTCATTTACACTATTTTAATACTGCACTGCATATTTCAAGTGTTTACCTATACAACTCTGTAATCTACCTTTGGATGAAGGCATGGTTTATGCATTCTTAAAATTAATAAGTATGTATTTTATTTTTTTCCTAATCTCCCCCATTATTTTCAAAAGAGATATTGGGGTCATGGTGAATGAAAATGCTCAGTGAAAATATCAACTCAGCTCAATATATGATGGCAATAAAGAAAGGCAACTTTCATTCTGGATGTTAGTAGGAAAGGGTTTGAAAATAAAATGAACCACTATCATAATGGCATCATATAAATCTATGGTGCAGTCACTTTTGGAATACAGTGTACTGTGCTGGTCATTCCATCTCAGAAAGGATTATTGTAAAGTTGGAAAGGGGCAGGAAACAGGTGAATTACCTTCCTTATGAAAAAAGACTAAAGTGTGTATTGTGTTCAGTTTAGAGGGGGGGGGGGAATCACAAGGGATACATGGTAGAGGTTTGTCACAGTGTAACAACACTGAATAGGTGTTGGTATCTTGTTGTTATATTTCTTCAAAATCTTTAAATGTGGGTTTCATTAACAATTATCCAGGGATAACAGCCAATCTTAATGTTTATTCAAGGAACAATGGAAAATTCACATTAAACCAAAGTCTGAGACAAATGAGATTCGAGCTGATCTCCCGAGTCCATTCCCACAAAGGATAGGGGGAAAATCTAATCCAGTTCACATTAAAAAGCGCACTTAGCTAATTTACACTTTCTGAAAACAACACACAAACTGAAGCAGAGCCTGCCTTCAAAATTCGCACTTCTCTGAATATTGCAGTGCAGTTGTCCAGCTAAGTAATGTGTACAAAAAGGCATACACTAGTATAAAGTTTACACACCCACCCACCCACCCACCCACCCCAAGCACATTTTGTTCAGAACTGGAAAGTCCTGTGAAATGTCCTCTTTCTTGGGACTTTCACATGATCCTGAGAGTACAAAGTCTACCTGGGCTCCCCAGGCCCTGTGGCCTTTTGATCCTATTTTGTGTTTCTTTGGTAAGAACTGGAACATGCAATTTTCATTGTTTTGCTGGGTTTGCTACTTCCCCCTTATATCTTTGATCTATGATACTGTCACCTGTGACATCTTTTTAAACTGTTCATCTTGAAGATGGTAACTTTCCATTCACTTCACCCTCAAAAGGGAATCAAATGTTGGCCTTTTCCCCCAACCTGCAAAGAATATGTTTTGGCCCCCATTAACAGAAGCCACAATCTAACCAAATACTCCAGCTTAATGCACTGGCGCAGTTCACACATCACACATGTTTTCTATTAACATGCTGATCTGGGCCACTTTGCTTATCCCTGCTAGCACATGGGAGAGACAAACCATGATCTCTAGCTTAGCATCACATCTCAAGCTAGAGATTTGGCTTGTTTTGCTCAGTGAAGAACAAAGTATTGTCTTCTCAGAGACAAATTTGGCAAAACGTGGGTGGATCTTTGTCTGATATGCTGATACAGAATCAATGAAATATACAAGTCTCATTCAATGTTGCTGGCTAAATCCAGGGAACATAAATGGTAACCATTTTATAATGTCTGAAGAAGGCTTATGTATCAACAAGAAGTAAGTAAGTTTGGGGGTTTTGTTTATTTTTGTTTTGTTTTGCAAAGGCCTTTGGTTTTATGACATAAAGTTCATCCATACCTGCTCCTTTTTGTGTGGTAGAACATTAAAAAAAGGTAAAAGACCCCTGACCATTAGGTCCAGTCGTGAACAACTCTGGGGTTTTGGCGCTCATCTCGCTTTACTGGCCAAGGGAGCTGATGTTTGTCTGCAGACAGTTTTTCCAAGTCATGTGGCCAGCATGACTAAGCCGCTAGTGGCAAAACCAGAGCAGTGCATGGAAACACTGTTTATCTTCCTGCCGGAGTGGTACCTATTTATCTAGGTTGGCAGGAGCTGGCATTATGTTTTTGTTAATGACAGTTGAATATGCAGATACTGACTTGTCATAGAAAACATCATCTGACTTGCTGCAGACTTGGGGAAACCAGTGACAGAGTGTCCTAGTGGCGTTAACACGCCTGGAAGATTTTGTGCTGCTTTGAAGAGACATGGGCCCTACTTGCGCCCAGGAGAGCAGTGGGGCAAAACTTGACTTGTCTTACTTTCCATCCTTTTCAGGCTCCAGTCCCAACTATGGCAGTGGATTTTCGGGGGACACTGAGACACTCACAACTTTCAGCTGGGATGACCGCAGTGTACGCAGGGTGTTCATTAGGAAGGTAATGTCTTTTACAGTCAACCTTCCTCCATACTGTACGGAACAAGGGTGTCCAACATGCTTCTTGCTCTAGGCTCACTTATAAGAAGAAGAGGAGTTTGGACTTGATATCCCGCCTTTCACTCCCCTTAAGGAGTCTCAAAATGGCTAACAATCTCCTTTCCCTTCCTCCCCCACAACAAACACTCTATGAGGTGAGGCTGAGAGACTTCAGAGAAGTGTAACTAGCCCAAGGTCACCCAGCAGCTGCATGTGGAGGAGTGGGGAAGCGAACCCGGTTCACCAGATTACAAGTCCACCACTCTTAACCACTACACCATGCTGGCTCTTATCCAGTTTGCCTCCCTATCCAGTTACATGTGGGTGGGAGTGGGGTTGGAGACCTATGGGTGTGATCCCATATAGGCCACAGGACTTTGCGTTTGTGTCACTGGTGTGTGTCATGTGAACCCCCTTCAAGAAACATAGCTGATGTATAAGGAATTAAGTATAAATAGATTAACAGAATATTAAAGGAAAAAATAAGGTTAGAATGTTAAGATAATTATAGGATAGAAAACAGAGGAAGATGGAAAGGAATTGCTGAAACAATTAACAGAAGTGGAATACGAAAAGGGAGGTGTGAGGAGGTCGTTGAAATAAGTGAATGAAAGATAAGATATTGCAATTATTTGATGTGTTTTAAATTGCTTTTGTTTTGTTTTGTTAGTTTAATGTGTTAGTGTTTTGTGTTAGTGTTATGTAGTGTTTTTGCATTGTATTGTATTGTCCATTCTTTTTTTTTCTTTTTTTTTGTAGTGTTTAAATTGTTGGAAAAGCAATAAATATTATTTTTTAAAAAAGAAAAGAAACATAGCTGATGGACAGGGCTATGCAGATTGCGTTGATTCTTAATGGCTCACATCCCACAAGGAAGGATTGTGTCTAACTATGGGCTGAATTCAACTAAGTTTTTGCACTATTGGAAACCAGCACAATTAGGCCCGCTGTTGCAGCAGGATTTGCCCTGTGCAGTTGCTCAGGAGGTTCAGGAGAACCTCCACAATGGGTGGGGGGAGGAAGAGGGAGAATCAATTTTGCACTGATGGAACGATTGCCTTAGCACAGTGTTGAATTCTACCTTTTTTCCCTAAGCATCAGCCATGCTTATTCGATCCTTTCCCCCCCAATTTTAGGTTTACAGCATCCTCTTGCTCCAGCTTCTTGTTACAGTTGCCATTGTGGCCCTCTTCACCTTCTGGTAAGTCTCTGGCCCACCAAGAAGCCTTTTGCTTTAGGTGCCTTTTCTGCTTTGGCTAATGTTTCCTAATGGTAGTACTGCTCCCGTATTATTTCTTCCTGTGCATGGGGAATAAAAGGAGCAAACTATGCATGACTTTCTGACTTGTGGACTATCCTGCGAACGTCTAAGTCCATGGACTTGCATTCAAGCTGACACACTTGATTGATGATATATTATTTATTTGTTTTACTGTGTGTCTGGAGCCTTAAACAGAATGATAGCAGACTACAGGAAGGTATTAATAGCTTCCCTCAAAATTTCTGGGATATTTTAACCAAAGAGGAGCATCCACAATGGCCTTGAACATTGCTTTCAGGAGCAGCCAGTGTGGTACCCACCAGATGCTGTCGGACTCCAACTCCCATTGGCCCATCCAGCATGACTAATTGCAAAGGATGATGGGAGTTGCAGTTCACATTTGGAGGGTGCCATCTTGGCTACCCCTGCTCTAGGTGAGAATTGGTAGCACCTAGGGATGGATGGATCTGTCAGTTTCTGGTTCTCTCAGTTTCTCATTTCTCCAATCATAAATTCTCATTATTCCTAACAAACATATTTTTGTATGCAGTTTTGACTAAGGTACATATTTTCTGCAGGCAATTTCTCCTAATATAATGCATTTTTGTGTGTTACTTTCACGAACATATTCATTTTTTATGCACATTTCCCCATAATATATGCCTTCTTTTGTAAACATTGGGTGCTTGGAGACCTGCACTGCAAATTTTGCCTAAGTGCAAATTTCAAAGGGCGACTTGTGTTTCGCTTCTCGTATTGTTTCAGAAAGTGTGGATTTGATCAATTCGGCTTTATATGCAAACTGAATTGAATTGCTCCTCCATCCTTAGTGGCAGCTCCATTCAAAAGCTATATGTTCCACCAATATGTATCAAGAATGACGGGGATCTCATACATTAGAATCTGTGGAATCAGTGAAATTTGTTGAAAACATTCATAGCCTGTCTTTCTACATGCTCAAGCTGGCTGACAATTTAAGATAAAATCAAATAATAATAATAATAATAATTTTTTTATTTATTTATATCCCGCCCTCCCAGTTGAAGTCGGGCTCAGGTCAGCTAACAACAATAAAATAGTACAACATTCTAAAATCATTTCATTATAAAATTAATTCAAATCAAATTGATGGCAACCATTAAGCTAAAGTTCTGTGAAAGGAGGGAGTCAGGCTGTGCCCTGACCAAAGGCCTGGTGGAACAGTTCTGTCTTGCAGCCCTGCGGAAAGATGTCAAGTCCCGCATGGCCCTAGTCTCTTGTGACAGAGCGTTCCACCAGATCAGAGCCACAGCCGAAAAAGCCCTGGCTCTAGTTGAGGCCAGCCTAACCTCTCTGTGGCCTGGGACCTTCAGGATGTTTTTGTTTGAAGACCGTAAGTTCTTCTTTTGGACATACCAGGAGAGGCGGTCCCATAGGTACGAGGGTCCTAGGCCGTATAGGGCTTTAAAGGTTAAAACCAGCACCTTAAACCTGATCCTGTACCCCACCGGGAGCCAGTGCAGCTGGTATAGCACCGGGTGAATGTGATCTCGCAGGGAAGACCCCGTAAGGAGTCTCGCCGCGGCATTCTGCACCCGTTGGAGTTTCTGGGTCAGTCTCAAGGGCAGCCCCACGTAGAGTGAAAGAAAGATGGATGGATGTTCTTTGTGCTTTTGTGAAGGGAGCACCCCTGACCTTCATGCCACACTGTTCAGGGCCCATGAGGTGGGGTGAAGCAGCTGCCTCGGGTGGCCCAAACCCAAGAGGTGGTGCCTCCATGAGTGCTTCCCCGCCTCTGCCACTGGCTTCCAGTGAGACCTTGCTGAAATCTCACGAGATCTCATGGAGTGCATGAGATCCCCCTGGAAACTGCTGCCACTGCTTCACAGGCACTGCTGTACCACCCTGGTAAGGGAGGCTTCAGTGGTGGGGCGGAGTGACAGCACAGTGGCACATTCCCGTTTCGTCTCAGGCAGCAAAACCCCCTCCCTGGGTGAGATACATTGGAGATCACCCTCTCTTTGTCCCTAGCAGCTGTATCCGGAAGAAGAAAGCATTAGGACTCTGCAACACAGTTTGGTGCGCTTTTATTCATAGCCTCGGTTTTCAGCGGCCACCTGTCTGATGCTCAAATAGCAGAGGTGGTAGATGCAAAGGCTTACCTGCATCAAATTGCATGTCACATGAATAATACATTGGTATCGCTTGAGACTTTTCAAGCCATTTAATCACCTGGCTACAAAGCCAACAGCCATTTCCCTGGAGTAGAATAAAGCAAATAAATTGATGTCATTATGCTGATTGTGATGCCCTCTTCAATTATTTTTGAGGCTGTGGGGAAACTGAGAGGATTGACCCCACCCCACCCCTTTCCTCAAACACTGGGTGGTTTAAGCGGTGCTTGCTGTTTGCAGGGTCTTGCTCAGTAAGTACATGAAGCATTTATGTCAGGGAACTGCCATCAGTGCCAGAGGGAGAGAGCAAAATCCAGAGGGATTCTGGAGAGCGTCCAGGAAGTGGGAGAGGCAGCCCATCTTCTGGGGAAGAGAATCAGCGTAGCACCAGTGGAGAAGGGGGGCAGATGGGGGAAGTGGCGAGGCGGTCCCATGACTCCTTGCCGGGGACCAGCGGGGAGAGTAGAGGTCCTCCGCTGCCTACGCCCTCCTTGCACAGAAGGCTTTCGCGCAGAGAGAGTAGGAGGAGACTAGGCGTCAAAGAGCTTCTTTGCTGGAAGAAGTTTAAGAAACGCCCACTGACGGATTCTGCCAGCGATTGAGACAGCCACGAGTGAGTGGCTGTCCGGACAGAAAAGGTTCACTCAGGCAACCCAGCCAGGTGTTTGCACCGGCTTACGCATGAGCAACCCCTAGAACCACTACAATTTATTTCCCACAAATCGGTGTATAGCTGCACAGAAAAAAATGCCTCGGAATAAGCCCCTCCTAGCACTGTCGATAGTCCATTCCTTTGCACTGATGCTGGGGTGAGTGACCCAGTTCTCCAGTGCTAACACAGCAGCAGCCTGTTACACAAGATACTAAGAACATTCTGACTAGACCCAGATCTGATCCGGCCCTGTAACTAGACTCAACAACAGAGTGGCTTCCTTTTTTTGTTGTTTTGTTGGCCAACCTTCCTGAGGTCACATGGCAGCAGTGGGTGTGGCTAATCACATTCTCATGCAAACTGCTTATATGCATGTACACACAGTCAGATGCACACCCAGGACCCTTTTTCGGGTAAACCATGCAGATCACCTGATACTACAACCTCTCTGCTCATCAGATGATTGATCTGATGACTGGAAAGGGGATACTTTTGTTCCCATCAGGGTGCTGGGCTCCACCCAGCCCAGCATTGTGTCTACTTTTATTTTTGTTTCGTTTTAACTTTCTAATACTGAATTCTAATTTTTTGTAACCTGCCCTGAGATCTGCTGGTGAAGGATCGATAATACATCCAACAATAACAACTTTTTAAATCTGATACTAAAATTGGTGGGGTCTTGGGAGAGCCAAAAAAATTGCTGGGAAGAGGGTGGTGGATCAGGCTCCCTCTAGTTGTCCGTATTATACACCAGTGTCAAGATTTAGCAGCAGAGGACACAATGTTGCAGCCACAGTGTGGATGGGGAGGAGAGGGAAGCAAGAGGCAATGGTTGGGTGGAGGGTGTTTGGCTTGGTGCGCCTCCTACAGGCCATGGGCAAGCAATTGAGATGCCAGGATCACAGATGCTCTGCTCTCTTTGAATTGCTCTCATGTGCCTTGTCTTTCTCTTTCTTTACTGCAGTGAACCAGTCCAAACATATATCCAAGCAAATCCAGCCTGGTACTGGGCTTCCTAGTAAGTACTGGCTTTATCTCAGAAATAAGCTTCATCTCTGTTTACGTTCTTATTTAATATATAAGGCAAGTTTAGTTATTTTGTAGGCCCAGTTCAAGAGACTATTTATTGATGGACAGGCTAACATCCAACTACATAGGAAAACAAAAGCAACCTTAAGAACAAGCTAAAGGGTAGAGCCTGAGCCCCAACCCATAATAACCCTGCTCAAAATGACCCTATGGCTTCAGAGGCACTGGGAATAGTCACACAGCTGGGGCTCACCCAGTGAATGTGATTCTAGGCATGAGAAAATGGAAGTTCATTTCATTTACAAATACTCTAGAAAACCAAAGACCCGTTCCAAAGGTTTATACTAACTTGTGGATCATTTAATTGGGAACATATGTTACAGATGTATACTCTTATTAGTTGTGGTGTATGTATGGGACTGTTTTAGGAGGTCTTTGGAGAAATAAAATAAAGAGGAAAAAGAAAGAGGCAAACACTTTCAGCACTTTTTGGCCAAAAGTGGGCAGAGTCAGGGGTGGAGCTTTCATTAAGCCCCATCCCATTTTAGTTGAGCACTGGAGATGAGGAGGAAGGAACCCCCTTAGTGTGCAGTGGGAAAGAGTACAGGGAGAGGAGGACCCTAGACATCTTTCCCTCTATGACTGAGTCCCTGGGGGGAAAGAGTTGGGAGACAGCGGACCTAGAAGCAGACCCCTGACCTGCTGGTTTGGACCTACAATAAACAATGGTTTATTGACACCTCAGAAGGCAGAGGGGTTCATCATTCCCTTCCCCCTCTCCACGATCAGCAAACAATGCAAAATAGCAGAGAAATGCAGAATCAGTGAGACAAAGTAAAGGAGATGGTGCAGGTGCACTGGCAGACGAAGGTGGGGTCGGGGGCGCGGGTCTGCCCTGGGTGTGCATCCAGGGCCGTGCCATCGCCAGCCGCTGGTGCTTGCTAAGCACCCTGGGATGCTTGGCGCTTGCTGCGCACACCCCAACACGTGCCACGCCCTCTGGGATGCATGCCAGCCATGCCCCCAGATGTATGCCGCTCCCAGGGCCGAAGCAGGTAGCTTCACCACTGTGCAGGTGTGCACAGTTAATGCCAGCCTGGCTTTTCTTGGCACAGCACTAGAGAAGCAACAGGCAAGGTGTAACCAAGGATGGGGAGTTGGAAAGCACTGAAGAAAAACTCTGGGGGGAGGGCCATGTAGCTCAGAAGTAAAATTTAGGGTTAACCACCTTAGAACATGAGCATCATACAGGAAAGAGGAGTACCACCTTCTATGCAACATCGTTTGGTTTTATTCAATACACACAATCCATTGAACACGGCTTTCGCCCACCAAGAACACACGGAACACTGTGGAGCGACACTTTCAATTCATTACTTTATTGATGCTTGTGAAAATCTAGAGCTGGACAGAAGCCATATCTTACCTAGGTGCAAATCTGCCCTCTGGGAGTGGAGGGTTGGAGGGAGTTTTATTTGTTGTTGTTGTTGCTATGCAAATCTGCTTAGGTTTGCAAAATAAATAAAATACGTTTTCATTTAAAAAGAACCAGATTTAAGAGGTGGGGCATGGCAACTGCAAGTACTTCCACCCCCACTCCATGGCTGTTTTTATTTCCCAGCCTGACCACATGCCTCAGCCTCACTGTTGCAAATGTAAGTGGAACCTGTCTTCTCAGTCACAAGCCATCTCCCCACCAGGCAGAAGGTGACAGTGCGGCAAACAGTTTAGGGTTACACTCTACAGCCCTTCACATAGTGGAAAATTACTTGGAGAAGTTTTCCTCTCGCACAGACTCTCTGAAGGTTGACCTCCTGTTCCCTATTCAATCAGTTGTCTGGAGTCACTAATAATTCTCCACCAGGTTGAACTAGTTGATTGTGTGGACCATTTCCCCCCCCCCCATCCCATTAAGAAGGGTGTTTTCTGTTTCTGTTGTAGCCCTTAGCCCACTGGGATGTAGGCTGGGGTTCAAGGTGGAACTTGAGAGGCTTGAGCTAAAGTGCCAAGTAAGTCATAGATCCTCTTCTTTCTCCCTATTAGACCACAGATGGGGAGCTTGTGGTTCTCCAGATGTTGTTGGACTGCAACTCCCATCAACCCCAGGCAGCATGGCCCAATGGTCAGGGGTGGGAGGCAGTTGTAGTCCAACATCTACAAGGGTTCCCCATCCCTGCATTAACCAAACATCAAGAAGGGCCATAGCTCAGTGGTAGAACAAATGGTCCCAAGTTCAATACCCTGGTATCTCCAGGTAAGACTAGGAAAGCTAACATAAGAAGAGCCTGCTGGATCAGGCCAGTGACCCATCTTGTCCAGCATCCTGTTCTCACAGTGGCCAACCAGATGCCCTTAATGGGAATCTGCAATCCCACCCCACTTGGTTCATCTCTCTCTCTCTCTCTCTTCCTCCCCACCCCTCTCATTGCAGTGCCGTCTTCTTTATTACCTACTTGATCCTGGCTTGCTGCTCTGGACCCAGGTAAAACCCTACTTTTAGTGCATTTGATAGAAAAAGGGGATTTGGGTTCTCTGTGCATCTCCCTTTCTATCTTGTTTGTGGGAGAGATCTGCGTCACCTTGGAAGTTTGGATATTCTCATATAAGTACAAGCTTTTAGAAGACATCTGAAGGTAGCCCTTTTTAGCGAAGCTTTTAATGTTTAACAGACCACAGTATTTTAATACTTCTTTGGAAGCCCCCCAGAGTGGCTGGGGAAACCCAGCCAGATGGGCGGGGTATAAATTATTATTATTTTATTATTATTATTATTATTATTATTATTATTATTATTATTATTAGCTGGTCTTCTAGCTGTCACTCTGATGTAGATCCTCACTCATCCCTTCTTCCCTGGCAGGGGTGGGTGGTGCTGATGTAAGTCGGAGATAATGGCTCATCAGTTTGCCTTGTGGTGCATGTAGTGAACTAGGCATCACTGGCCTGGATTCTGGTTTTGCATTGCACAGAGAGAACAGACCTTCTTTTCTGAATGAGGCATGCCACAGTGAGGAAAATGCTCTGCTATAGTTATTCATTGGAAAGAAGAGGAAGGGAGGAAGATCTGATTTCCCCCACTGAACATGCCAATGCTTTTCAGTATATTGATGTCCTTGGGTATTATTCCCTCCAAATCCCTCTTTCCATTCAGATCCTAGCTTCTGTGCCCTTTTAGCAGATACTATACTCACAAGGGACGCGGGTGGCGCTGTGGTCTAAACCACAGAGCCTAGGGCTTGCCAATCAGAAGGTCAGCGGTTCAAATCCCCACGACGGGGTGAGCTCCCGTTGCTTGGTCCCTGCTCCTGCCTACCTAGCAGTTAAAAAGCACATCAAAGTGCAAGTAGATAAATAGGTACTGCTCCGGTGGGAAGGTAAACGGCATTTCCGTGCACTGCTCTGGTTCGCCAGAAGCGGCTTAGTCATGCTGTCCACATGACCCGGAAGCTGTACGCTGGCTCCCTCGGCCAGTAAAGGAAGATGAGTGCCACAACCCCAGAGTCGTCCACAACTGGACTTAACTGTCAGGGGTCCTTTGCCTTTTTATACTCGCAGCAGCAAAGGAGTGACATTGTTCATTTCCATGCCACGAAATGCTTGCTTGATATAAACCACACATTGCAAGCCACTGTTGAAAAGGCACATCTGAAAAGGTGGCATAACTCTTAGTTAAGTTGAATCAGCGAGAGAAGCATTTGTGCTCCAGAGCATCTCTTGAGCGATAGTCACCCAGTAGAATTGTACACATGTTATTGCCCTGCTGCTCTACCCGCCCTGCTTTAATTATCTGATTATGCAAGATGCTGTTGTGCAATTTTCCTTCTAGTGGTTATGCTCTTTGAGTAACGACAGTGCTTTCTTGGCTCCCTTTCACTTAACTCACAGGAGGTACTTCCCATGGAACCTGATCCTCCTGAGCATCTTTGTAAGTAGTATACCTGGGGCTGTGATTTGTGCTAAGCTAAGGGTGATTTTTGGGACGCGGGTGGCGCTGTGGGTTAAACCACAGAGCCTAGGACTTGCCAATCAGAAGGTCGGCGGTTCGAATCCCCATGACGGTGTGAGCTCCTGTTGCTCGGTTCCTGCTCCTGCCAACCTAGCAGTTCGAAAGCACATCAAAGTGCAAGTAGATAAATAAGTACCGCTCCAGCGGGAAGGTAAACGGTGTTTCTGTGCACTGCTCTGGTTCGCCAGAAGCGGCTTAGTCATGCTGGCCACATGACCCTGAAGCTGTACACCAGCTCCCTTGGCCAATAAAGCGGGATGAGTGCTGCAACCCCAGAGTTGGCCACGACTGGACCTAATGGTCAGGGGTACCTTTACCTAAGAGGGACGCGGGTGGCGTTGTGGGTAAAACCTCAGTGCCTAGGACTTGCCCATCGTATGGTCGGCAGTTCGAATCCCCGCGGCGGGGTGAGCTCCCGTCGTTCGGTCCCAGCTCCTGCCCATCTAGCAGTTCGAAAGCACTTTTAAGTGCAAGTAGATAAATAGGAACCGCTTTATAGCGGGAAGGTAAACGGCATTTCCGTGTGGTGCACTGGTGCTGGCTTGCCAGCTGCAGCTTCGTCACGCTGGCCACGTGACCCGGAAGTGTCTTCGGACGGTGCCGTCTCACGGCCTCTAGAGCGAGATGAGCACGCAACCCTAGAGTCGGACACGACTGGCCCATATGGGCAGGGGTACCTTTACCTTTACCTAAGGGGGATTTTACAGGAGCATCGGACCACATGTTCAACAGGAAACCAAAGGAAGACTTAGGGCAGAAAAGGAAAGTGTTTATTGATGCAGCCCATAGTTAACACAATCCCACAGGAGGCAGTGATAGACACCAACCTAAACGACTTTAAAAGAGGATTGGACAAATTCATGGAGGATAAGGCTATCAGTGGCTACTAGCCATGACGGCTATGATCTGCCTCCATATTATGCCTCTGATTGCCAGTTGCTGGAAACCCAATGGAGGGGAAATGTTCTTGTGCTTGATTCCTCCTTGAAGGTTTTCCACAGGCATCTGGCTGGCCACTGTGAGAACAAGATGATGATTTACCATTGGCCTGATCCTGCAAGACTCTTCCTGGGTTCTCACGTCACGTTCTTAAAGTTGTCTGTCCATTTCCAATGGCTGAAAGCCAAAGTCTGAAACCACTGACTCTGTGAAACAGCCTTCGCCAAGCCTCCAAATGTTTTGAACTCCCAACTCCCATCAGCCCCCACCAATGGTCAGGGATGATGGGAGCTGTAGTCCAGCAATATCTTTGGTTGATTAAGCACAAATCCCATCATCCCTGACCATTGACCGTGCTTTCTGGGCTGCTGAGAGTTGGAGTCCAACAACACCAGGAAGCCCCCAAATCAGAAAGGTGTAGACCAGGGGTAGTCAACCTTTTTATACCTACCGCCCACTAATGCATCTTTCTTGATGGTGAAATTTCCTTACTGCCCACCAGTGCTTGATGGAAGGAGGATTCAGCTTGTGCCGTAGAACCCCCCACCGCCCACCTAGAATCCTGAAACACCCACTAGTGGGCAGTAGGGACCAGGATGACAACCCCTGGTGTAGACAAAGGGTACTGTAATTTTTTTGGGTAAAACAGTGCCTTAGTTAGAGTGCCCAGCAGCAAAAAGGCTGGGGGTCCTGCACCTTCAAGAGTTGAATAGATTGAAGGATTTTGGCAGCACAGCTTGCCATGCAGGGGTGAGGAAAAAATTGCACCATCTGAAATTCCCCCTGCAATACAACTATTAAATGAATAGTTCTCTTTGGCTTTTGGCCTGTTTATGACACCACAGAGGAAGAAACTACCCAATGTAAATCCATCCTTTATGTACTATTATTGCTTGGTGGGTCACAGGTTCTTTGAGTTTGTCCTCAGAAAGGACAAAGAGCATGCGCTTCTGGTGACATCTGGTTGCGCCTCTTTCCCTAATACTCAGCTCCAGCTTCTGAAGTTAACTAAGTGTCTTTCCTTCCACAGACTCTTTCCATGGCCTATCTGACTGGGATGCTCTCCAGGTAGGTTGGTCACAAGAAGAGACTGCATACTTGCCATATTTCTTCTATGTGGGAGATTTCATTCTTTGGCCTCACCCTCTGATGTTTCATTAGAAAGTCAGAGCATGCTTATTTAAACACACCCCTCTCTATCCCAAAGTTGGCATGTTCCATTTTGCTGCTTGAGGTTCTCATATTGTTTTGGATAGTGCAGATTTGATAGATTCAGCTTCAAGCATGAACTGAATCATTTTTCCCCTCCATCCCTACTTGTGGCCCAAGTCATGTACATTTGTCATTCTCTGCCACCATGCTGTAACAATCTCATGCAGAGGTGCATCATGAATTTTCATTGTTTTATTTTTGTCTGATGGCCTGTCAGTGGTACTGGAAGGACAAAACAAAGGCATTAGTTGGTCACAGTATCTAGTAGAGCAATCAACGCATTGCAGCAAGATATTCTGCTGTTGTAAATACAAAACAAAAGCATAGTATGCCAATTTGGGCTGTTCTTGATTAAGGCTGCAGTCCTAACCCCAATTACCAGGGAGTATGCACTGAATTAAATAGGACTTTCTTCTTCTGAGTAGTCGTGTTTAGGATTAGATTTCAATAGGTGCATTCTTCTTAGTTTTTATCACCACATTTGAAGATGGGGAAATACCTTTGGAAGCAATTGCTTTGCTGGGTGCAGGCTAAAGATTCACTTAGCTCAGCTCCATTTCTCCAGCCATGACCAACTTTATTATCATTAATTATATCTGTGTCTTTGGAAAGTTCACAAGGCAGGTGGGAAGGTGATGTTGGGCATCCCTGTTATGTTATTTCCAGCATGTGGTTCTCAGAGTCCCTGTCCAGTGAGATTCCTCTGAGGTCAGCAACTGTGGCTCAGTGACATAGCACCTGCCTTTGCATGCAGAGGGATGCTAGGATCCCTTCTTGACCTCTCCAGTTAGAAAAGCTTGGGTGCCAGATCTGGGGAAGACCCAAGTCCTTGAATAAGCACCACTGGCTGCCATGTACAAGGCAGGTTTAGATGGACCAATTGTCTGACTTGGTATAAGGTAGCCTCATAATTGCATATGTAGAGGTTGTCAGGAGCTCATCCTACACTACAGTAGGACCCTGGTAGCAACACATGCCTGACTGGCATGTTTTCTCTCTCCTGGTCGATTGTTCGGGAGCTTCAAAAGCTTTCTTCAGCCCGAACATCACAGCGACCGATGCCAACAGACATCAGCACACTTAGGGATCTGCAGAGTCTTCGCAGCTTGCGTAACAGACCTCAGCAACTCAGCATTTTGGCTAATCTACTTTATTTACATGTAAACACACACGGAGCACTGCAACATGGCTCCCTCTCTCTCTAGCATCAGAAAGCAAAGAGAAAAAACAAAGGACAATAGTCCCACTTCACGGAACACAGTAACACAAACATCCTGTCTCCATCACTTTCTACTCTGTGGAGTCAAAACACACACCATCATGTGATAGACAAAAACCCCATGACTGCAATCATGGATCAGGAATTCTAACATCATTATGAGGTATCATTATGAGGCCCTATTCCTCAGAATGCGGAGAATTCAGATATTTTGACAACATCTGTTCCTTGTGCTCCTGAGCAACATATACAAGTTGGATTCCCTCTTCCTACTTAATGACTTTATCAGAATCCAAAGTTTCGAGTTAGTTTCTAAACCAAATGTGTTCCAGGCTTCTGAGAACTATAGCACATGTCCTTTCCGAAGGTGGATCTCTTAGTTTGGATCTCTAAAACCATTCCATTCCATTTTTCATTTTGCAGCTACTACAACACCAAGTCAGTCCTTCTGTGCCTGGGGATAACAGCACTGGTTTGCCTCTCTGTCACCTTATTCAGCTTCCAAACCAAGGTGAGTGAATGTGTCTTAGTAGGGTTGGGCATCCTAAATTTTGTCACTCCGTTTACAGGTGAAGGAGAAGTTGGGAGGGTCCTTCTGCCAATTTTCAGGTGGGTGGGGGCAAAACACGGCAAAAATAAGCTACAGTTACAATTAGTAAGTCCAGAGCCAGGAGCAGGTAGCTTTCATTCCCCACCTCAGATGTATTCCTAGAATAACACCACATGTTAACATAGTATTGTTCAAGGAGACATCTGGATATAAAAAATGGCAGCCACGTGTCACTGGAAAGAGCACCATTGCCATTTCTACTGGGGAGAGGGCCACCACCAGCAAGAAGCAGCAAAATGAAATGTTTAAAAAGGGAGCTGAGGTGGTATGGGGGCACCTTCAGCCTCCAAATTTGCTTATTTGTTCCTTCCTTTCAATCCATTTTTCTTTTGCTTTAAGCCTTTTTAGACATTACTGAGGACTGCCTTTTTTCTTTCATAATCTGCAAGTTACTCTGGGAATCTTGATGGTTGAAGAACAGAATTTTATGCTGTGAACCGCCCTGAGATCTATGAGTATAGGGCGGTATGCAACTTCAATCAATCAATCAATCAATCAATCAATCAATCTTCATAAAACATGAATGGCCCATTGAAACTCTGAATTTTCTATAAACTGAAGTGACAGGGGCAAACACCAATATGAGATACATTATGTTCTAATTTGGAAGGGTCTGAGTTTGGATTGTATTGGGAGGAGGCTTCCTGAAATCTCTTGAAATCTCCCCAACACATGCCGAGGTGGATATTGTGGCTCATATAGTCAAAAAGCTAGATGTGATGGAGAGCTTGTCTGAGTCTAAGACAGTGTAAGTCAAGGGATCTCAAGGCATGAGATATAACTTGAGAAGGATCTGCGTACGAGATTCAGTAGCAATTGCCTGGCAAAGGCTGTATGTGTTTGGTTATGTGAGTACCTTGTGCTCCCTGAAAGTTGGGTGCCCTTGAATATACTCATTCGGGGTACACAGCTACAGTGATGACCTTTTTCTTTCCTCCCACAGTATGATTTTACCTCATGCCAGGGCGTGCTGTTCGTGATGTTGATGGTGCTGTTTTTTAGCGGGATCATCCTGGCTATTCTGCTTCCTTTCAAATATGTAAGTCTCATCTTACTTCTACCAGCAAAAATATACCCACATAGGAATGTGTCATTTCACTGGGACAGTGAGGTTCAGGGCCAGAGCACTCAAAATTGCTAAAAGCAGGAGTAGTCAACACGGTACCCACCCAGATGTTGCTGTACTAGAACTCCCATCATCCCTTACCACTGGCCATGCTAGCTGGGGCTGATGGAAATTATAGCCCAACATCTTCTGGCGAACACCATGTTGGTTACCCCTGGTTTAAAGCCTAATCTACACGGAATCACAGCATTGGAATAGGAGTCAAATGGGCTTTTAAGTCAACCCTCTGCTTGCTACCAGTTCTCTGCTGCCCAACCTTCAGAGCCAGTGTGGTGTAGTGGTTAGGAGTGGTAGATTCGTAATCTGGGGAACCGGGTTCGATTCCCCGCTCCTCCACATGGAGCTGCTGGGTGACCTTGGGCTGGTCACACTTCTCTGAAGTCTCTCAGCCCCACTCACCTCACAGAGTGTTTGTTGTGGGGGAGGAAGGGAAAGGAGAATGTTAGCCACTTTGAGACTCCTTCAGGTAGTGATAAAGCGGGATATCAAATCCAAACTCTTCTTCAGAACCTAAACTACAGTTGCTGTAGTTGCTTGGGCCTGTTTCAAGAAAGTGAAAAGGGGTAAGTGAATCTGTCCGTTTTGGTTTCTCTCTGCTTCTCATTTTTCCAATGTTAAGTTCAGTTCTCCACATTTCTGCAATGAAAAAGAAGAGGAAATCATGGAAATTCATTGGAATTCTAGCCTAAACGTTTCCTAGCATGCACATTTTTGTATGCAATTTTGCCTAATTCACATTTTTTTCCTAGCCATTGTCTCTAGTGCATTTTTAACATGTTGTTTTCAGTACTTAGTGTGTTTTATGCACACTAATGTACCCATTTTGGGGGTTCCAGATTCAAATAGGTGTCAAGTTTTGAATTTGGGGAAGTGCAAATTAGGTAGGTTTGCTTTAAAATGCAAACCAAAAAGAATTTCTCCTCCATCTGCACATGGGATGGAAAAACCAAATGGTATTCACCGCCTCCCCAAGATAACTTGGGTCATATGAGAAAATACTGCGTGAAGGTGCATTATATTACACAAAATTGTGAATAAGAATGCATATGAATTTCCATGCAGACAATTTTTTTAAAAAACACCTTTGAACCTGATGCAGACACTGAATAACTGAACTTAAGACTGGGAAAATGAGAAACAAAAATCAACAGATTTATCCATCTCTATTCTTAGGCAAAATTGTGTCCGAGGTGGCTCTGGCCATTTCCCTTTCCTTTTGCAGCCTATGGAATCCTACCTGCAAGACGACTAAGATAGACTGGCTCAAAAGTCTTCATTTTTGCCCTCGCCTTTCTTTTCCAAACAAACATGTTCCCTCCTGCTAATTTCCTAATCCTTATCTCCATTTGTATTGTGGCGCTGTGGTCTCCATTTCCATTCCCCCCCCCCCCATCTCTGACACACACACACAACTGCAAGATTTGGCACTGGCTTGTGTTTACTGTTCCTGACCAGCAGTTGCTCATGAAGCAAAGACTGATTATGACAGGGAGGAGGAGAAATGGGAAAGAGGGCAAAGATGCCAGAATCTCTCAATCATTCTCCATCAGGGAGTTTTCGTTCTGCAGTTATCACGAGAGCCTGCTAGATATTGACAAAAGAAGGAGTGTTAGCCTGGGTTTTGAAGCCCCCATTAATCACTGCGGACTTGGCTTGTTTGCTTGATTTCCAGGGTGGGCTGGGCTTTCCATGACCTCAAGTGGCTGGAACCAGACTGAATACCTGATTATGTTGCCTTAAAAGTACAATCCGTCCTTTGATTCACACCCTTCCATGATTCAGGCCTGAATAAGCCGAACGTCAACGCGTGTGAGAATGTTGTGCTTTGCAATAGAGAGCCCCAGATTTCTCATCCCTGAAGCAGGTTCTATGTGACACTATGTACTTCTCGATGGCAAACACCAAACAGGTCCATCATGGCCTTGCTTTGATGTTGCTATTTTAATTTGGCATAGTGTTGGATAGTTATCTAAAACCTGACCCAGGTGAATATGTGCTTCCATCATCTTCACCAGGTGATATTCAGCATGTGGCGCTGTGGTGTAAACCACTGAGCCTCTTAGGCTTGCAAATTGAAAGTTTGGCAGTTCGAATCCCTGCGATGGGGTGAGCTTCTCCTGCCCACCTAGCAATTCGAAAGCACACCAGTGCAAGTAGATAAATAGGTACCGCTGCGGCAGGAAGGTACCTTCCATGCACTCTGGTTTCCATCATGGTGTTCCATTGCACCAGAAGTGGTTAGTCCGGCAGGAAGGTACCTTCCATGCACTCTGGTTTCCATCATGGTGTTCCATTGCACCAGAAGTGGTTAATCCTGCTGGCCACATGACCGGGAAAGCTGTCTGTGGACAAACACAGGCTCCCTTGACCTGAAAGCGAATGAGCACCACAACCCCATAGTCGCCTTTGACTGGACTTAACCGTCCAGGGGTCCTTTACCTTTATTCAACTAAATAGCTGTGCTTGTACAAGGATTGACACTAGTACAATGGAATTTTCCCACTTGTTTTTTCCCTGCATGTGCCTCACACTATCCCCAAATCTATAGTTGCTATATTTCAAAAAGTAGAAATCTTTTTTTGGGGGTGGGGGTGGGGTGGTCGTTGTTACTACTCAAACACACACACTTCCTGGTTCTGTTGGCAAAAACCTGGATATTTTGCCAATTTTTTTGAATTTTCCCTGGACACTAATTTTGCTGTTGGAATCCCGGGAAAATCCAGACGTATGGCAACCCTACCCAAATCTGCTCCAGATGATTAGGGAAAACCCCAGAACAGGTTTTTTTTTTGTTTTTTTTTTTTGAGGTGGGGTGGAATGGAGGGAATGTTCTGTTTTGTGCAAGGAGAAATCCTCATATTGACAGAACATTCTCCTTAGCGCTACATTGAATACAACCCAAGATATTATCAAGCTGGGTAGGAAATGTATAACACATTCCTGTCATACATTTATCTTAAATATTAACAGGGAGTAGAGAATAATGCTTCTATGTAGTTCAAGTTAACTGTTTCTGTCTGTCTTTCTGTGTCTGTCTGTCACACACACACACACACACACACAGACAGAGGCTGCAGTCCTAACCCTCATTTCCTGAACCCATTGGATTCAGTAGGACTTACTTCAGGGTAGACATGGCTACGATTCTGTTGCTGACACACTACAGGAGTCTCTGCCAAAAAAGAGAGCTTTATTCAGCTTCCAGTTATCATCCAACACCCTTCAAATCATTATCAAGTGATGTTTGGTCCTCAGCCTGTGCTTGGGAGCCTGTTTAATAAAATGAGAACAATGCAAATGTAATTTCTCTTCCTTACACCTTGCTGGTTCCTTTTCCGTCTTCTTTCTGGAGGTGTCTATTATTATTGTTACTATTTTACTTTGAGCCAACCTGTACCTTGAGCCTCTACTAAGAGAAGGGCCATAGCTCAGTGGTTAGAACATCTGATGCCCATGTAGAATATCTCTGGTTCAAGACCTGGTGTCTCCAGGGAAGGCTGGAAATGGAACCCAATAGAGCTGCTGACAGCCACTGCAATCAAAACTGATGGTTTCCAGTCATTACAAGGCAGGAGCTTGTCCTACACTTGAGTAGGACCCTGGCAGAGACACATGCCCGACTGGCATGTTCTCTCCCTCCTGCTCGATCGTTCGGGGGCTTCAAAAGCTTTCTTCAGCCCGAACATCACAGCGACCGATGCCAATAGACATCAGCACACTTAGGGATCCGCAGAGTCTTCGCAGTTCGCATAACAGAGCTCAGCAACTCAGCATTTTGGCTAATCTACTTTATTTACATATAAACACACACAGAGCACTGCGACATGGTTCCCTCCCTCTTTAGCATCAGACAGCAAAGAGAAAAAACAAAGGACGATAGTCCCACTTCACGGAACACAGTAACACAAACATCCTGTCTCCGTCACTTCCCACTCTGTGGAGTCAAAACATACACCGTCATGTGAAAGACAACAATCCCATGACTGCAATCACGGAGCAGGAATTCTAACAGTTCTCAGGTTTCAATACCTGGCATCTTCAGGAAAGGCTGGAAATGGAACCCAGTAGAGCATCTTACTATGTACAAACATCCAGCCATTCATCCTCCCACATGGATCGCAATGTTTACATCCTTCTGTCTTATGAGGCTGACCAATATCTCTTGCCTCTTTCCATGTAGGTGCCGTGGCTCCAGGCCATTTATGCTGTGCTGGGTGCAATTGTATTTACTATGGTAAGTAAGCTGAGCTCAAGACAATTCTTTCCTCGACTCACTGCAACCAGAAGTGAGAATTTAGAGAGGTTAAAATATCAGCTGTGCTTTTCACTTGTAGCCATGCAGAGGATGCAAAAGATGTTGGGGAATGACACTGGGGAGAAAGTGCATCTTTCAAAACCCCACCACCAATTGAGTCCATATAAAACAATTAAAGGTCCAATGTGCAGTTTCTCTTGCTGCGCCCTAGAAGAAGGATGTCATCAACCAAAAGGCATTGGGTCATTATTATTATTATTTGGTCTCTTAAAGACTCTTATTGTTTTATACAGAACCACCACCACCCCAGGTCCATTTTAAGCCTTTGCTCCTTCCTTTGCTCCCTTTGATTTTGTGGGAGAAGAAGGCTCCCCTAACCCCACTCCTTCAAATACGCAAGCTGAGCCTCTCCTTGTATTTCACGAATCTGTGCTTTATACAATCCAATCTGCAATCCATGTGTTCAAGTCTTCACTGTTCAGGATCTGGTCTCAGCCATGATGGGCAACACACCCACTCGTCTCAGTTCAGAATGGGAAAACCAAGCTATCCCCTTAGAGACCTTGGCTGCGGACACAGCATAGATTTAATGCAGATGATTTCCTCCCAAAGAATCATGGGAACTGAAATTTCCAAAGAGCTGCAATCTCTAACCCTCTTAACAAACTACAGTTCCCGGGAGTCTTTGGGAGGGGTGCTAGGTGCTGTATATGTGCTTTAAACTTATCTTGCTATTGCTGCCTCACCATCAGAATGCGGGGGTGGAAAGATAGGGATAGATAAATCTGTCAATTTTGCTTTTTCGGAGCTCCTCATGTTTCCAATCTTCGGTTTGTATGTTACTTTCATTATTAGACACATTTTTTGCACCGTTTCCCTGAATATACTTTTTTTTAAAAAAAAGGATTGCATCAGCTGAGCGTGTTGTTTATCTGTCTCTTGCTATCTTTACTCTCTCCCTTTTCACAGCTAATTGTCCTCAGGGCTTGAGGGGAGCAATTGGCCACTATATAAGTTAAGAAGCAGAGATAAGCAGTGGGCTCGGCCTACAACCCCTTGGGCTTGCATAGCATTCCCTGCAGCCTTTTCCGCCAGTCTCCCAGGGAGCTGCAGGAGTCTGAGTCTGACCCCAGTGCTATATATATATATATATATATATATATGCTCGCGCATGAGAATGTATTCATTTTATACAACATCTGTGAATGTCGCCAGGCTCTAACTATATGGTGGAAGCTGGTAAGAGGCGACAGCCATCCATCAGTGAGGGGAAACTCAAAGAGATACTAGCAAGTAGGGACATTTGTCCTGGTGCACAAGGGCACCAGCACCTGCACCTGAAGTTGGCAAGGCTGGGCATCTATTGAGGGCACAGGGGTTTGGAAAGGCTCATCACTGATCCTGCCAAGCCCACCACCATTTGGACCCTCCCCAGTACCAGAGCTGTAGCACAGCATGGCTGCTTACCTTTGCCACCGTCACCAGCAGCTCCTCGTCTTGCCTCCCCTCTTTGCCGCAGACATATGTATCTCACAGCAAGGTAATAATAGTAATAATAATAATAATAATAATAATAATAATAATAATTTATTATTTCTACCCTCCCCATCTGGCTGGGTTTCCCCAGCCACTCTGGGAGGCTTCCAACAAAAGATTAAAAATACCTTAAAACATCAGTCATTAAAAACTTCCCTAAACAGGGCTGCCTTCAGATGTCTTCTAAATGTCATATAGTTGTTTATCTCTTTGACATCTGATGGGAGGGCGTTCCACAGGGCAGGTGCCACTACCGAGAAGGCCCTCTGCCTGGTTCCCTGTAATTTCGCTTCTCGCAGTGAGGGAACCGCCAGAAGGTCCTCGGCACTGGACCTCAGTGTCCAGGCCGAACGATGGGGGTGGAGACCCTCCTTCAGGTATACTGGGTTGAGGCTGTTTAGGGCCTTAAAGGTCAGCACCTTTAAACTTTGGTAGACTGAATGGTGCAACTGCATGTACCTGTGTGTTAAAACTAATCATGTGGTTCTTCTTGCTTGAGCTGCAACATGAAGTCTTAGCGTATATCCTCAGAACATTGCTGCATGTCTCTTCCCATGTTAGAAATGTGTCCCATCAATGAAACTGTGCGCCACCTTCTCAAACTGCAGGCAGAGTTCAGCCGGTGCTTAGCTCAGTACATACAACAATTCAGCATATAGGAAGAAGGTCCCTGTACACTGTAGTATTCTCCTTAAACCTCCCTATCATTGACATCTCGGAAAGGCTTATTCCCTGAACATGGAAAAGTAGGTTTTGGATGTCACTCTGTGTGGCTGAACCTGCAGGCCAGATCCAGATCAGGCCTTCCCCCAAACTATTTTTATTCAGCCACCATGTTACCTTTCCAACATCAAAGAGAATATCGCCCCAAAATATGCCTATTTCTAATGCAGTGCTGAATGTTCTCCCATCCTGCTTTTAACCAAAAAGGTGTGCTTTCAGGGATGCCAACATGTTCCTTCAAACACCAACCTCTGAAGAAGTTTGCCATTTACACTGTCTAACTTTGGGATATTTGAAGCCTGTACTTAGGTACTGTATTTTTTGCTCTATAAGATGCACCAGACCACTAGACGCACCTAGTTTTTGGAGGAGGAAAACAAGAAAAATATATATTCTGAATCTCAGAAGCCAGAACAGCAAGAGGGATTGCTATGCAGTGAAAGCAGCGATCCCTCTTGCTTTTCTGGCTTCTGGGATAGCTGTGCAGCCTGCATTTGCTCCATAAGACGCACACACATTTCCCCTTACTTTTTAGGAGGGAAAAAGTGAGTCTTATAGAGCAAAAAATATGGTATTTGCCCACTGGTAGGGAATATAGGTTAAGATATAGGGCAGTCTAAGGGAATGGCCCAGTGCCCTCGGTTAACCAGGTAATCCTGCCAGTATTTCTGTAACCATGTTAACCTTAGTGGAACAAACCTGCCTGGAGGTTCCGGTTCCCAACAAAAGAGGGTTGTTCTCCTGGAGCTTTCTAACAACTGCCCTTTGGACCTTTGATAACCCACAATTTATCATGAAACTAAACCACAAATCTGAACTGCAGTCCTCGGCAAGCATTTTAACCGGGCTCTATGACGCAAGAAAAAGCGGGACGCAAAGCACTGTTTACATTAGAGTAGACATTTCGGGCTGAAGGTCACATTCCTTTCTGAGCACCCTTTTCCAGGGGCCACAGGTGGGAAAAGCCAGAAGCAAAAGCGGGCGGGGGAACAAATGTAAAATTTGTCCCCACCCTTGAATTAAAAACCAAACATGTAGCATAGGGGAAGGTTGCGTGATGTTCCTTGTGTTCCTCCTTTGGGAAGAATGCAGTAGGCCACGTTGGGACATAGCTGTCAACTTACAGATTTGAAAATAAGGGACCAGCAGCCTCAAAAATAAGGGATCAGCAGCCAAAATAAGGAATTTTCAGAACACAGGTATGTTCAACTTCTGAGCCCCTCCGAGCCAAAGGCAGAAAGCTCAGCCAGCAGCCAAACGAAGCCTCAAGCGGTGGTTCCCATAGAGCAGCAACCCGGCAAAGGGGATGCAGCAAGGAAAACCACCGTCACCTCTCCGCTGGGAAGCACTGAGCAAAGGCGAGTCCCCAGGCAAAGCAGCCGATTTGATTGGCACAAGGCATGCAAGCTCCACCCCTCAGTCGTTCTTAGACTCCTTATTGGGTGAGCAACACAGCCAAGCAACACAGTTGGAGCCTCCCTCCTCCCTGGCCGGCAGGGAGGGAGAGAGAGGAGCTGCTTCCTTTGAAACCCGGGAAATTTAAGGGACATCATCAATAAGGGACAGCAGCAAGACACAGCGCTGGGATAAGGGACTTTCCCGCCAAATAAGCGACGGTTGACAGCTATGCGTTGGTAGGACGTGGCGGTTGTTGTTTAAGCAGATAGTGGGATGCTGGGAAAATCTACTGGATTCTGTAGCCCATTGTGAGCCTTTTAGTTCTTTTCTCCTGTTTCCATTCGCTCAGAGAGCCACAGGGACATGGGTATACTGGAAATGCATTGAAGCATGCACATTTTCAGTTCTGTTTATGGATCTCCTTCCCCCTTTGTACAAGGCAGGAGAGTGAGGTGTTGCATCTGGGCAGCGAGATCTTGATTACACTGGCTCAGGCTGGCAAGTCAGGCTGGCACCCACCCAGTGTGGATCCTCCCTCTTAATCCAAGCCATGGGAGCTGCCTGAGCTTTCTGAGTGAGGAGCAGAGCGAAGGAGGTTGAGGCTGGGTATGGGTGTGGACTTGACCTACCAGCAGCAAGGGAGGTGGCTGAAGTATCGTGCCAATACTGTTATCACCATAAGCTCTGAATGTCAGAAAGGATGGGATGAAACTCAGTTCAGTCCCCATCTTCATCTGGGCCTACCTTATTCGCCCTTTCCAAATCAATATACAAACCAAAACACCACCAGCCTTCAAATGTTGCCATTCTCCAACCTAGAATTGTGTACAAAATGCATATATCAGGAGAATATGCACATAAAAGTTTGTGTATTAGTAGTAGGAGGAATCGTTATATTTTTAGCCCTCCATTCCTCCCAAATGCTTTATCTTAGGGGAAATTGCTTGCCCAAATATGTTTAATGGGCAAAAATTACATACAAAAATAATAAATTAATGTGTATTAAGGAGGAAATGTGGGCACACTAAAATGCTCAGGACTTTTTTCATTTAAATGTAAACAGACGCGGAAATGTGGCAAATTGGAATTGTAACAGAGAAAACAAGCGAAACTGATTTGACAGATTTCTCCAGAGAGGTTACCGGCACACTTAGCAATCCTATACTGCAATCCTATACTCGCTTCCCCTGGAGCAAGTCTCACTGAACTTAGGGGGACTCAGCGCTGAGCAGACATGTATAAAATGGCAGCACTGACCTTGGCCTGTGTTTGGTTTTCTCTTCTCAGTTCCTGGCCTTTGACACACAGCTCCTGATGGGAAACCGACGCTACGCTATGAGCCCGGAGGAATACATCTTTGGGGCTCTCAACATCTACCTAGACATCATCTACATATTCTCCTTTTCCTGCAGATCTTTGGGTCTAGCCGAGAGTGAGCTTGGCAAAGCTGCTAGGGCTTGTGTCTGATTTATTATTATTATTATAAAAAAGAAAGGAATATACATCGGATGACACAAGAAGAAAGAAAGGAGAGAGGAAAAAGTTATCCAACCTCTCTAGCCCTTTAGCAAGCTCCATTCCATCAGATGGGCCCCTGTCCACCCACCGGCCTCGTTGAGCTCCTGCAGGCTGTACACATATACATATAGATGCTGTTAAAACTTTTGTGACTCAAAAAGCAAACTGGGGTGTAAATGTACTTGCTCTGGCGACTGCCTTCAAGCTGTAAATTGAACCTGGAGTTGCAGGACCAGAATGGGCACTAGAGTGAAGGGGAGGGGGACCATTTTTTTATGTGTGTGGTTTCAATTGCTGAAGCAAAGCAGTTGGGAATTCAGAAATGATCTTAATCAAGGTGGTCACAAATGTTTGTGAAAATCTGCAGAATGGCTGATTTATTTATTTATTTATTTATTTATTGGTGTTCTTCATGACAATTGTTGTGCAAGCCTCAAATTCAAGTCCTGGCACACATCTAGGGCCAATCTGTTCATTTGCTTTCTAGCCACTAGATGCTTTTCTTCCGAAGAGCTCAGAGCAGCTTACAAGGTCTAATCTCGCTTAGCTTCATTGATAGAACTTCTTCACATGCCCTACTGCTCACTAGGATGTTTTGGGGGTGGTGGTGGTTTCAGACTCTGAGCCTCTTCTGCTTGGCTTTGAGTTTTAATTTGCTGATTTGAAGTTGCAGGGTTCAGTTTCAGTTCTTTTGCCCGTTTTCTTGTTTTTTGTTTCAGCACTATTTCCAGCATATCAAGAGGAGCAGGGGAGGGTAAACATCCAGCATAAATGGTCCCTGTCTTCCTGCTCAGTCAGTGATGGCATTTCTAATCCCAGCCACTAACAAGAGCAAACATGTCCTTAGATCTGGGATAATACCTTTTGCCGCCACTTTCATGCGGCACTCCCATGCACCAATGACTTCACCTGTCTCTCCATCCCTTTCTTGGGATGTGGATGACATTAAGACTTCTTCCCATGAGTGGATCAGGGCTTGAAAGGAGACGAGGCAGAGAGAAGGAGGGAGTGACAGAAGAATGCTTTCTGCTTTCATATGTCTAGCTTAGCAAGTCTTTTCAGATTTAGAGAGGATGGCCACGGCATTTCTAATGGCCTAGCATTTCTTTGTCAATTGTTACAGACAGAAAGATGGAGGGAAACACACCCCAGCACTGAGAAATCCATGTGTAGGAGATTCCAGAAATCTAGACAGGAGCCTACCATTCTCTTTTGTATTCAGATCACCTTTTGCATTATGACACTGCATCTATTTAGAAATATTGGGTGCATGAATGGAGACCTTGTGTCTCCTCTAAATCTCATATATAGATAGATCCTTGCAAGTGAAGACATTCCAGCCTCTTAGCTAGATCCCTTCCCCATCTCGGCTAGAATAGCTGCCTAAATTAAGCCTAAATTCCTGATTGGAGTTTGAGGTCATCCCTCTGCTGCCAGAAGTAGATGGGTCATAAGAAGAGTGCTGAGGTTGGGGTAAAGGGTTCAAGAATGAAAAAGCTTCAGCACCACTGGACAAAGAACGTGAATAAATTCTAACATCCCAAATTGACCAGATTGTGTGTGTGTGTTAAGGCAATGAGGTCATATCTAACCACTGCCTAACCAATGGTGTATTTCTGCATCAGATGATAACATACAATCACCCTGTGTAATTCAGAGTGTGCCCTGCATTCTTTGCATATACCGTATTTTTCGCTCTATAAGACGCACCAGACCACAAGACGCACCTAGTTTTGGGAGGAGGAAAACAAGAAGAAAAAAATTCTGAATCTCAGAAGCCAGAACAGCAAGAGGGATCGCTACGCAGTGAAAGCAGCAATCCCTCTTGCTGTTCTGGCTTCTGGGATAGCTGTGCAGCCTGCATTCGCTCCATAAGACGCACACACATTTCCCCTTACTTTTTAGGAGGGAAAAAGTGAGTCTTATAGAGCAAAAAATACGGTATATAAAACTGCTGGCACAACCATGATGTAGGTATTTGCACTCTGTTCACCTGTGCGATCTAATGAACTTTTACATTATTATTTGTGCATTCATGACATTGATACCCTTCCTCCCCTGAACTCAGCGGTGCATGTGTGTGTGTCAAGATGAACTCTTTGTGAGGCTGTTCCCAGATGGGATATATTAGAGCGATCTTCTGAAACCTGGCACCCTCTAATATGCCTATCAGCCCCAGTCACCTAGATTGGATGTGCTGTCTGGGGCTGGCGGGAGTAGTGGTCAAAACATCTGAAGGGCACCACGTTGGGGAAGGTTTGGTAGGACTGAGATGACAACTATTTACTCAGGGTCACCCAGGGAGTTTCACAGCTGATAAAGAACCAAAACCCAGGTCTTCATGGTCCCACACTCTGTCCACCACCCCAGACTGGATCTGTAGATAGTGATGCTATGTCATATGATGCTTTGTGTGTTTATCTCTTTATTGGTTTGTGGTGCTGTTATCCTTATTTTGATTCCTAGAAGCTCAGAGCACCTTACATGCAGCTCCCAGCCAATCTACCATCCAGCCAACCAACAAGCTGAGACCTGCTTAGATTTACAGCGTAACAGCATTCTATGTCATCAAATGATTCAGTTATTAAAACAAGTGTATTCTGTCCCAGGGTGATTTTGTTCTGTTACAGCAAAGGCACAGCCAGAGGTGTAGATAGATCACACCACCTTTAGATGGACTCTATTGCTTTAGTCCATCCGGTTTTTGGATTACGTGGACATATAATGAAGGGGCTCCAGCCCATTCAGGCCTGTTTGGCCTAAAGGCTGATTCTGAGACCAAGGAAAATCTATTGTCTTCACGGTTTCCATGGGAAGCTTCTTTCCACGCTGACAGGGGAAGCACTGCAGGGCAGTCTGCTTTCTCCACTGGAAATCTCTCTAGGTTCCTGAAGTGTGGCACTTCAGTGCTTAACCAGGAGAGGGCAGAGGAACAGGATTTGAGGTCAGCAACTGGCACCCACTCCTTGGACTGGGCCAAGTCTGTTGTCTCCTGAGTCTCACAGTCATTTGTCAGTGTTGTCCAAAGAGCCTGCAGGCTGGATGGCAGTTTCTTGACAGACTGGGGTCAGGGTGTTTTTGAGAAGCTTTTATTTGTTGACCAGCGATCACATTTCCTCAGAGCGTGATCTCGGCCTGGAAAGGGCAGACAGATTGTCTCCTGCCCCATGCCCACCACCTCAGGCTGCAGCTTACATGAACTCCAGAGCATACCCGAGTAGCTTTCCATCATTGCACGTGTGGTATTAATGGTCCCCATGTGGAAATCAACCAGTTATTTTCTAATGGTGGCCCCCAGGCTGCAACAGCCTCTAACTCTTATTTAAAAGATGATCCTTCCACCTGATAGGGGCGGCTTATCTGAAACCTGCCTGGGAATGCTGAGGAGTCTGCGTCACTCCGTTGCCTGTGGCATTTCTGACCAGTGGAGAAAGGGGAGGGGATCTGAGCCAAGCCCTTTGCTCTGTATGTTATCCTCCTCTTCCTCCTCTTGCTGCTGTCCTCCCCTCTTAGCACTCAGATGTTTGCACAGTCATTGCACACAGATTCAGTTTACAAGCTGGTGGTGCCCCTGAGCGAGTGAGAGGAAAGTTACTGTGCACATGTGGAGTAGCAGTGTCCTGTGCAAAGCACCTGCCTCCCTGCCTGCCTGCTTCTTCTATCAGAAGAGTTTTGCTCTCCCTGGTGCCTGATTTATGCAGTGAACTTTCTGGTTTTGTACCCAGGCTGTAATGTAGAAGAGGAAAACAGGCCTTCTGTAGGAGGGGACAGATAGAAGGTGGAGGGATATCCCTGGTGAAAGCAAATGGGCCTGGACGGATAGGAAATGCCACCATATTTTTCGTTGTTACATATCTAGCAACTGTGAGAGGTGGGGATACAATAAATGTCTTTAATGTATTGATTAAGCAAATAAATGGGCCATCAAGTTGGACATGTTGCTGTGTTGGTGGTGGGACGCCTGTCTAAGTCAACTGTTGCAGATGGCAGCCAGGCAAGTTGCTTTTTCAAAAGCTGGTCCCACCCCAGATCCAGAAGCCAAACATTTCTGCAAAGACTTTAGAAAGAGGCAGGGGATGCATTTTCACTGTGTCGATATCCTAGCCTCTTTGCCACTTCTCCCCTTTCTCCCCCTAAAAAACAGTGGCCCACCTGCCAGAAAGCTAGCATAGCAAATCTGCCCTTCCTGGTGAGCTGCTTCTGATATGAGGCCCATCCCTTACACCACCAAGGAGCTCCCTGCTCCTGAGAACTGAGATCGTTCCTTCCTGCATCATTCCACCCACTTCATCCGCACAAGTCCATTCTGAGTAATGTTTATTGGCCACACTATAGAGGGAGGGAATGTTGGGAAATTGGCTTTTTCATGTAGTGTTACCACAGCGTATGCTCACTGAATGAATTGATTATTTGATTGATTATTTAATTTCTATACTGCTTAATGTATTTAAAAAAATCTCTAAGTGGTGTACAAAAGACAGAAGCAACAACAAACAACATAAACAAGATATTACAAAAATACACCATTACATATAAAAATGTTACATTAATGCAAAGGTACTAATACCAATTCATTCTCCTTCTGGCCTACACCCCCCAGGTTCTCATGCAGGGTCCCTACAAACTTTCAGTTCACGCACAAAAGTCTCACAACAACAAGAGTTCCTGGAAACAGCAGACACCACCCTAGTCTCTCACTTTAGCCTTGCTTGTTATGGACAGGCCCAAAGTACTTCCCCAGCCTTCCCACAGCTGTGTCCCATTCAGCTGCATTCTCCATACCCAGTTCCAAAGTTTGCTGAGTTCCCTGGGGGTCCAATGAATGGCATAAACCTACTTAATGGGTGTTGTTGAAAGTGGATGTGGTGAGAGGAGGCTACAAGACCAGCAGTACCTGCAAAAGAAGATATCCGAAGCCTTCCAGATGTTGAGACTCCAAATCCCATCATCCTGACCATTGGTCATGCTGGCTGGGGCTGATGGGGGTTGTAGTTTAACAATACATGGAGAGCACTACATTGGCTACCCCTTTCCAACAGCATCTGGATGACTGCAAGTTTCCCATCCCTGTGCAGCAGATGGTTTTTATTTATACCACCGGTGGATGCTTAGGCCTTTGCAGTCCACAGCAAGCAGGGAGGTTGCATATCTGTGCAGCCATACACTGAGAGAGTGTCCTTGCATGAGATGGGACAACTGTCAGAATCAAAGGATGTTTAGTGAGCAGGAGGAACCTCACAGGGACACACTGAAATAGTAACAGAAGGGAATGCTAGTTCCACATGAATAGCTAGAGTTGCCAGGTCAGGAACATCCCAGTCTTTGAGATTTCAGGGCCCAGATCTGAGGCATGAGGGGGCTGGTGATATCACAGGGGCAGGTCCTGGACACTGAGGACAACTGGGAGAGGGGAGTGAAGGAGAACAGACCCCCTCCCACCAAGTATCTATGCTAAAATTTGCAGCTAGCTCCTAGAAGAAGAAGAAGAGTTTGGATTTGATATCCCGCTTTTCACTCCCTTTAAGGATTCTCAAAGCGGCTAACAATCTCCTTTCCCTTCCTCCCCCACAACAAACACTCTGTGAGGTGAGTGGGGCTGAGAGACTTCAAAGAAGTGTGACTGGCCCAAGGTCACCCAGCAGCTGCATGTGGAGGAGCGGGGAAGCGAACCCGATTACGATTCACCAGATTACGAGACTACCGCTCTTAACCACTACACCACACTGGCTCTCCTAGTGGGTTGAAGCTTGCAAGCAGCATGCACAGGCATCATCATCATCATCATCATCATCATCATCATAATACAAACACTCTTACCTACCTGGAGAGAGTCAGGCAAACCTGGAGACTTCAGGTCAGACCTGGAAGTCTGGCAACCCTAGAATAAGGTTACCATATTTTTTCCAATGAATCCGAGCACACTTTTCAACTTCAATAGATTTTGTATGGGGACTGATTTGTAAATCTGGGGACTGTCCCTGGGAAACGGGGATGTCTGGTAATCTTACCCTAGAGGGAACACAAGCAAGTGAATCTACATGGCTGACTCAGGGAGCGTTATTATTTTTTGGGTGTTGCCACAGAAGGTGGAAAAGGTTTCCCTGCCTGGTACTACAATGACCTGCGTGCTGCTTTGCCCAGGGCAATGGTTATATTTGTGTGTGGGAGGATGAGGAAAGAAACGCTAGTGCTTTGAGGAAGGCCAGGAAGGGAAAGAAACATAAGAAGGGAATCCTTTCTTCCTCACACATCTTTAAAACTCCATGCGAGGGTCAGGCTGTCTTGACTCATGGAAGAGCTCCTACTCTTGTCTGCAATTTGGGGTCATTTGCAAATGAAATCTCCTTAAGCCTCTTTGAGTAGCAGCAGATCATAGCTGAGCTGTGCGATGCCACTTCAAAAAGGTGTCGAAAGAACAACGTGGGGGGGGGTCTCCCTCCCCCTTTCCAGCATCATCTTAGGGACATCATTTTAATAGATATGGTTTTTGACCTCCAGTCTCTTCTGACAACAAGAGGAGCCCGTGGTCAGCTTTCAATTCCCATACTTTGCTCACCCCTCCCCTTTCCATGATCATTACTCTGGGACACAAACCATGTCACCAGGAAGACGTTCAGGGCAATTTATCAATTAACAGTCCCCCACCCAACACAAAACAACCCACAGCATTTCCCCCGAACTTTGCACCATTTTCTTCCATGTATTGTGTAGCAGGGGGACATGGCATGGGAGGTGGGCCCATGTTCC